TTTTGAAATAACATTCGCAGCACCAGTTTTTTCAGCATAATATTAGGTCTGTCCGTTTGATACTTTTAACGTTGAAGATTCACTTAATTTCAGTAGGTAGGTATTCAAGCATAGAATTCACATTCAGTTTTAAAGCTGAAGAATCACTTTCAGTTTTTAAACTTGAAATTCACTCAGTTTTGAAGCTTAAGCTTCACTATGAGTTTCAAAGCTCAAGATTCAGCCTCAGTTTAAAGCTTAGATTCACTTTCAATTTAAGCGCAACGGCGGTCAGCGCTCTGTTAAGCCACTGGTTCCCAAATAGAAGGTTAATTACTCTAATTACTCACTGGGGAAGATTGAAACTTTGGAGGTACTGAAGGAGTTTAGATGCAGCCATGCATATATGAACATGCTACTTCAATTTTTGCAGCATTTGTGGAGAGGGTAAATTTGTTACTGTGGCATGAATAAAAAAAATGTATACAATCATTTAGGAGAGAAAATTTTAGAATTTTATAAACAAGCCTGAGAATTTTATAAACAGAATTTTATAAACAAGAATTGAATTTTCATATACAAGAGAATTTTATTCCTGAGAATTTGATAAACAAGCACCTAGTTTTCATTATTAATACCAACACAAGACATCTAGCCAGTGATTATTTAAATAAAAACCTCAATTGTATGATAAATATTCCTAATAGAGATATGTTAATTCAAATGCATAACTTCTATGAATGTGTTCCTGGAACATTCGCCTTCATTTAATCGTTCTCGTTCATTTCAGTACGATTCATTTAAGCCAGTAGTACTTCTGAGCAACAAAATATCTTAATAGTACATATATACAATACAAATTGAATGTACTTCTTCCACGGAAATCTACTGTAGAACTTATGGAAGGAGCTCCAGATAGCCGGCAGCAGCAACTTCCATGTAAATGTTCCAAGTCTAAATAAGCTGCCGAGTCACCCGAGCATATTTGACTAACCTATTTTGCACAACACAAACACTTCTTGGGATGTGATGCAGCTACGCTTAAACATTACTGCTAAGGTGCGTTACTGATAATTACCGAGTGAGTTACTCATAATTGCTCCGGAGTGACCTACTCATAATTGCTCCGGAGTGACCTACTCATAATTGCTCCGGAGTGACCTACTCATAATTGCTCCGGAGTGATAATTGCTCCGGAGCGAGTTACTCCTAATTACTCCAGAGCGAGTTACTCATAAATACTCCCGGGCTCGGGAAAACACTGCATACGTTATAAATGAATTTAACATACTGTAAGTATTTCCGCATACGCGTTAGGATTCACGATACACATACACAAACTTCACCAATGTATGCTTAACATATACACATAATCAGGGCTCACCATAGCATCATGAAGCAAATTTCTGAAATAGCAACAGCAAGCAGTTCGCCAATGTAATATGAATGACAACCCCACGCTGCGGGGGTGGCACGACACGATTGGGGGCACAACCCCCTTTAGAAAGATGTGGGGGTGACAAGCGACTCCAAAGGTGGACGGGTTTTTCTGAGGCCGCGGAAGGACGGCGGGAGCGCAAATTTAGAGCAAAACTGACTATTCGTTAGCTCCATGGAGCAGAAAAAGACGAGGAGCCCGCAGGGGTCCTTGTCGAACAAATAAATTGCCTTGTAGAACCTGACAAATAATCGATTCTTACTGAAGCTGAAGTCTCCCTCGCCTAAATTCGATGTATTAAGAAGTTCCATGTTTTATTATACAAGGCAACGTCTGAGAACATCCAAACAATTTCAAACTCATGTTAAAATCAATCAAATTGAGCAGATTTTACAGGACAAATTATAAATTCGACATTGGTTCTAATGATATATGTGCTCCGAGTAATACTCTGCAATTCGATCAAAAATTAAGTAGCCCAATATTACACATCGATGGTAATGTCGATTTAGTGAACTGAAAAGAGAAGTTTGCTTAAATAATCTAGAATAAAATTGTCTGAAAGATCAACGATATAAAATAATTAAATGAATCGTTATTAGAGCAACATTCAAAAAAGTGGAAATTTAGGCAGTTCAATTCTACAGTTAACAGTGAGTCTGCTGAATAGTGAATTTAATGAGTAATCTTTGGCACTGCAATTGAGGAAACGCTCGGCGTGAACATAGATTTTATCAGGTAATTACAGACTCACTTGAGCGATGCTTAGAGCCAGGCACCCCAATAAAGAGAACGACTGGAGGAAGGAGGGATGAGGAAGGAAAGAGGGATGAGGAAAGAAGGAGGGATGAGGAAGGAAGGAGGGATGAGGAAGGAAGGAGGGATGAGGAAGGAAGGAGGGATGAGAAAGGAAGGAGGGATGAGGAAGGAAGGAGGGATGAGGAATGTTAACGGGGAATATAACACAGCCATGGCATGCGCGGCCCTGGGAAACAAGCTGAAATGAGCCTTTGAAAATTCCAGCTTCATCACACTGATATCGACGCACAAGATATTCCTAGATAAACAATTGCCCTCGTCACAATGTTTTGAGCTATGGCAGTCTAAGTAATTTTTATTTTGAAAGTAAAGTCGATCAGGCGAACTCATGGGGAAGTTTTTGAAAAGTCGCACTTGGACGTGGCTCCCAGCAAACATATACCAGCGTAGGGGAAGAAAACCACGGCAATTGTTAGCACATTTGTTCAGCCCCGCCCGGTAAGGTCACGCTTGTTTACGTAACGCAAGACGAGGTGAATGCAAAACAAGATAGTGCTAAGGAAGAATTACGATCTCATATAACCAGTGATCTTGTTCTTGTGAAGGCCGAAGACAATTGTACCCACAGGGTTTAGAATGTACCCACACTAATGCGATTTAGGTTATCATACAACTTACTGAGAAATAGTCTGAGGATGAGAATTCGACGCTAGAACACTAAAGGTCTATGCAAGTCTTGGTATTTACTTTGATGTAAATTAAAATACAAATAATCTTCTCCTTGAAGCCAGAGGCTGTTTTAGATCGACAAGTACTGTAATGTTCGGATTCCTTAAACTACATCGGTGCCGAAACTTCTGGTTCCTCCACAAACGAAGCAAGCTTCACGTTCGACCACATGCCAAAAAACTTCTTGTTCATCTACATACCAAAAAAAAACTTCTCGTTCGTCTACATAACCAACAAAACTTCTCCGTCAACATACCAACACAACTTCTCCTTCGTCTACATACCAACGAAACTGGTTCGTCTACTAACAAACAAAACTGGTTCGTCTACTAACAAACAAAACTGGTTCGTCTACTAACAAACAAAACTCGTTCGTCTACTTATCAACAAAACTTTCGTCTACTTACCAACAAAACTTTTTCGTCTACATACCAACAAAACTTCTCGTTCGTCTACTTACCAACAAAACTTCTCGTTCGTCTACATACCAACAACACTTCTCGTTCGTCTACATACCAACAAAACTTCTCGTTCGTCTACATACCAACAAAACTTCTCGTTCGTCTACATACCAACAAAACTTCTCGTTCGTCTACATACCAACAAAACTTCTCGTTCGTCTACATACCAACAAAACTTCTCGTTCGTATACATACCAACAAAACTTCTCGTTCGTCTACATACCAACTAAACTTCTCGTTCGTCTAAATACCAACACAACTGCTCGTTCGCCTAACATGCAAACAAAATTTCTCGTTCGTCAACGCAAGAAGGAAACTTCGCGTTCGCACCGAAGCCGAAAAACGGGAAAGCCCCGACAGGATATCCCGCCGCGTGCGGGTCCGCGGGAAACTCGGGTTATTTCCCTCTTATGAGAGAACTTTACCAGTTCTTCTTGGTAACTTGAGAAAATAAATGTGTCACAGACAAGCCACACATAATAAAGGTAACTGACGTTATTCTGAATTCGGTTAAGGAAAAATAGTGCTTCGAGGTTCCCCTATAACAAGAAGTTAATACGATGAGATAGCTCATGAATGGAAGTAATTGTGGTATTATTGCAGATTAACTACATCCAAAAAAAAGGGTGTTTTTTTTTTAATTATATGTTTTTTGGGGTGTAGATTACGAATCTGAAATCCTTTGGCTGACTTAACCCAACCTAAGAGCTTTTTGTAAAATTTCGATGAACAATCCGACCCTTTATATAAAGGTGAGTGGGTAACGTAAGTTACGTAACCCCCATGTTAGTAAATAAAGGTGAGTGGGTAACGTAAGTTACGTTTACGTAACCCCCATGTTAGTAAGTCGCGAAAAAAATCGGTTTTCCGATGCCGACCGCCAAAAATGGATTTCAGATTCGTAATCTACACCCCAAAAAACATATAATTAAAAAAAAAACACCCTTTTTTTTGGATGTAGTTAATCTGCAATAATACCAAATCATTAAATGTGATGCAGAGTTTTTTAATGCCAAACTTCCAACGCAACGCAAAGTATATCGATAGCGCCACAATGAACTAATCCATATTCACCGAACCCAATGGCAAAAGCATCAATCTTAAACAAAATATAGTAGCCCACCGACAGATAGGTATGAATCACTAAACTTAAAGGCTCATCACGTGATCACGATAAGATTAGTCATTATATTAAAAAGAAAGAGCGCCCATTTTTCAATCAACCAGTGATCCAATCATCCAAGTAAAATAATAGACACTGGGGTAGGATAAAAATGAAATGAACGAAGTTAAAATCCTCGCACACAGGCCTAACCATTACGATAACTGAGCTTGCATGCAATATTTTGAAGATCAATAGCAATGCCCTTAAATTTAGAATTTAAGAGAATATATTTGATCGTTCAAATGAACCAAGCTTCCTAATTCACGTTAAAACAAAAAAAAAACGTCCGACGGCTTGTCACTTGAGCGTCACTAGGCCAAGTCGCGGCGAACAGGAGCGATTCGCGCGAGTCTGGAAGAGTTTCGTTCTTGTGACCCTAAGAAAAACTAAACTGGATTGTCTTTACTTCTCAAGTAATATGTATCTTTAAAATTGAAAAGACTAATAACTTTAAATTAAAGTAGTTTACCTGAAACCGCAACTGATGAAGAACAACGCGAGAGAAGACCGCAACGACGAGCTTGTGAGATACACTGCAAGAGAATTTTTCAGCACAACCACACTTAGCAACGCCGGGAACCTTACTAACTGTCTACGCTCTTGATGCGGCTCCTCGCAGACGCCAGACGGAACAAAAGTAACGGACGGTGGTGAAGGATTCGCTGCCAGTAGCAGCGGTTTGGAATCGGTCCCAAAGAGCTACATCTGATTTTTGTGCATAAACTTCAAATTCTCGTATAAATTTATGAGCACGAGGTTAAATTTTTTACGAAGAAATAATGACATGAAAAGTTTTTAGTAACTTTTTGCTATCTCAATCAATCGTCAGCTATGGAAAGATCGGGTTCCAAAGGCCGGATCCCTTGTGAATCAAGTCACGAAAAGTTCAAGAATCGGCAACAGGCCATGGGCCTATTTCTTCAGCGCCGACACTTCTATTCTATTCTATTCTATTCTACACAAAGTTAATATCATAATGGAAACACGCATGAAGTAAACATGCACAGCCGAATTTTAGTGAAAATTAGTTCCACCATGTACAAAACCTTGAAAATATTACCACAAGCATGCAAACTTAGTGTTATGGATTATAATTGTGAATAACCGTCCAATGACGGTCATATGAATTTACCGTTCGATGGTTTGATTTTGTTGCCAGGAGTGAAGAAACTAAACAAATAAATTACAATATTTTTCCTGGAGATATTTTTCGGTGAAAACTTACACTATTGTTCCGTCTGCATCTGGATATGTTACTGAGGCGGAAACTTCAAAACTGTTGCCCTCTACAAACTATCTGCTTAATTCGGAATAGAAAAAAATACAGATTAATTTTATTATTAAAATGCCTCCAAATACTCAAATACAGCTGTATCGCCCTAATCATTGTAAATCCCCGCTGCTTAGTTTAATTTATTTTATTTTACATAACACTTAGTGTTATGTAAACTAAATGCAATCTTACTAATTCAGCTGAATTGTTAAATATAAAATAAAGACTAAAATTTATCACTGAGTGGTCCTAACTAGTTAGAACGTCTCCACGGTAACCCCGACTGTTTGCAAGCAGCATATTTCAAACGCTTGTTTACTGAGGTCGAACTGAGATCATTACTTGATAAGGTATTGATCATGACCGTTCTAACCTTGATCATATATCGCCGACGAGAAATCTTCCTGAGCGCCCGTCCAATGCACCACCATTAGTGTGGATAAGATTTATTGATTAATCGCATGGTGGATACGAATTGTTGTGGTGGCTCAACATTTATTATGCTTTTAGTGACAACAAAGCACCTGCAGGGAATTATACGTGAGTTATCAGCAGTTCGTCAAGCCTTGTGCAGCAAATTTGTTGTCTTACACTGAATCTAACCTCACTCGCTCCTATGTGTATGAAATTTTTCACATTATTATCAATTAGCATCAACCATATATAATAATTAACATTATGCCATGTGGCTGTAATTCTGTGTCTCAGCACGTAGCAGTTTTGCGTTTCACTTAGCAGTATTTGTGTCCCTAATTTGATTTTCATTCTTTTGCTGTCCTGAAAGGCTGAAACACACTATAAATAATACTGATTGGACACATGCAAGCCAAGAGCACTCCTAAATACTGTTGTAGAGAACATGTTTTACCTGAGTCACATACACACGCGTAGCCGTAGAANTCTCTTATACACATCTAGATGTGTATAAGAGCCAGGGACAGAAGTGTGCAAGTTTCTTTTCCTCAAACAACTAAATATATAATAATTAACTATTATATCATTTTGTAATTCATCGTTGAGACAAAAAAAAAAATGTGTCTAAACACCCACCAATTTAATGTGCAACTCGGGAACTATTTCGGAAGCGACATTTCTCTTATTTTTGAGTTGTCTGCCTATTAGATCCTCATAAATAAACAATTTAGCTATCAAAAATTATTTTAATTAAGTGATATTTAATCCAGAGCTGAATTTGTGCAAATAAAATAGAAATAAAGAATATAAATTCTGAAATAAAAAACAATAAAACATTACAAGTCGCATGGCAATTGTGCGGACTCTTTTGTTTGATTTAGCTTCTCTTTCTGAGTTCCGGTAAAATCGTTTACTGGAGTCCAATTCCTGGAAATTTCTGAATGTAACTCAAATTACCTGAAATATTCTTGATTGCAGCTTCAGCTTCCATGTGTGCGATAATTAATCAAATTTATAAAAGACTCTGAGTTAGAAATTATGTTCGTTTTTGAGTCTCCGACACTAGATTAACTTGCGCACTGCAGTGACTCCAGCCAACCATGACATTTCTCAACTCTCGCACATCTCGAGGCCATGTTCCGAATGTTGAACTGTATCAACACATGGACAAGAGTAAATATATTTCTTTGAGTGTATCTTACAAGATTCGTCACGCTCTTGCATCACACGATGCGGACTTCCGTATGCAGAAACATGGGATTGTAATGCAGATGATGTAAATGGAGTTAATGCTATGCGATATAACAATTTAATGAGTGCCTTGATGGAAAGCGCCTTCGTGTGCACCCAAGCGAAGGATATTCCACTCTAAATGCTTTTCTTCAAGTAGTGGTTTCATTGTAAGTTCATTAATAATTGTTATAGTTTAAAAAAATTTACATTTAAAGCCGCTTCAAAGCATAGCTCATGGACATATATATTAAGAGGAATTTAAGACAAATGCCAAACGGCATTGAGAGGAATATTGGGCAGCATTGAGAGGAATATGAGGCAGCATTGAGAGGAATATGAGGCAGCATTGAGAGGAATATGAGGCAGCATCGAGAGGAATATGAGGCAGCGTTGAGAGGAATATNATGTATATATACGTTTCAATATATATACATATATATATATATATTGAAAGGAATTTAAGACAGCACTGGAACATATATAAACGGCATCAATAGGAATGTGAGGCAGCATTATTAGGAATATGAGGCAGCATTGAGCGGAATGTGCACGTGAGAGAGCATTGAGAGGAATATGAGAGAGCATTGAGAGGAATGTGAGGCAGCGTTGAGAGGAATATTAAGCAGCATTGAAAGGAATGTGGCACAGCATAGAAAGTAATATGGGACAGTATTGAGCGGAATATGAGACAACATTGAAACGCAACAGAAGCAAATTTGAAGCGCAATTGACATAATGTTGAATGTCAATCGAAATATTTTTAATGAGAAATTGAGGAGGATCTCTCGTGAAGATGGCGCAACTCTGTTACGCATCTGACTGACCTGAGGCAGATTTACCAGAAAAAATGTATAGTTTTCAAACCAAACTTATTTCTCTTTTTGGGTAAAAAAGGGCTTTTATTGTCGTAAAACTGTTTTTATGCACAACTGAAAAAGATTTAAGTAGCAAGCCATGGCTGCTTCGACGCGGAACTAATACAGATATCATCTACAAATCATACTAGCTTCTATATGCAAATTTTACTGCTATTAAACCAATGCCATGAAACTTTTGATACGCTGATAATACGCCAACTAACGTTTGTCAGAGCAGCTTTGATACGCAACCAAGGGAGCTTCTATATATCCAACTGAGTCAGCTCCAAAACGCATGATAAGACCGCAATTATATACGCATGGGCGGCATCTCTAATACGCATGTCGAGGCAGCTATCTTGCACACGTGGAACACTTCCAATACGCTCTTATACGCACGTTGAGACCTCTTTTACGTACTTGGGCACTAAAAGTACACTGAGGATGTATGAGCCCAAAATGACTATTATTAGCTATTAATATCAATTGAGGTATCACTAATTCAATACAAATGAGGGCTGCTTAAATATTTTTCATCTAAATAATTGTCACTCAGGAAGAACGGAGCGTGCGTTACTGCGTTACTGTTCATATTATTATAATCATTTGTACCTTCTCACATGCATAACAGGAAAATACATAATTTAACTGTTCTTATTCACCTGAAAATTCGGAATTTTAGACGTGTCCCGTGACTTCCGACATTTTACGTCAAACGACATCATCGTCAAACTCGTGACAAGACATCATCCGCATTTTCGCCGATGGCTCCTCATTGTCCGCCATGACAGCCAGAACGTAAACACTTGTTAAGGTTCTCACTGACCACGCCGGTGCCAGTTGCTCTGTCGTGTTGCGCTGCTCTGTCGTGTTGCGCTGCTCTGTCGTGTTGCGCTGCTCTGTCGTGTTGCGCTGCTCTGTCGTGTTGCGCGGCTCTGCCGTGTCCTGTTCTCTTCAACAGGATTCCTGCCATGGCGCTGCATGGACGAGTCTCCAAAACTCCCATTAAACAGCGACTAGAGTCTAGACGAAGAAGAAGGATGTATGAACCCAAAATGACTACTATTAGCTATTAATATCTATTAAGGTACCGCTAATTCAATACAAATAAGGGCTATTTAAATATTTTTCATGTAAATAATTGTCACTAAGGAAGAACGGAGCGTACGTTACTGTTCATATTATTATAAGAATTTATACCTTCTGAAATGCATAAGAGGAAAATCGATAATTTAACTTTTCTTATTCACCTGAAAATTCGGAATTTTAGACGTGTCCCGTGACTTCCGACATTTTACGTCAAACGACATCATCGTCAAACTCGTGACAAGACATCATCCGCATTTTCGCCGATGGGTCCTCATTGTCCGCCATGACAGCCAGAACGTAAACACTTGTTAAGGTTCTCACTGACCACGCCGGTGCCAGTGGTCACTGGGATGAGACGTCACGCTGAGTGAGTCAGCATGTCATGGAGATGCATTTCAGCCTTCGTCAGGGACGACTCTAGAGCTTCCTATTCATTGGCTCAGTGAATTGCAAGTCTTAATTTGAAAACGGGCCATGAGGAAGATGCATGGTTATGGAAGTATGTCATCTTTTTTTAGGCAAAGTCATTGTAAGTTCTTCAGTATTCTATACATGATAATTGCTAGGTAAAAATAATGTTGTTTTAATATTCATCACACAACCAGGTTCCCTCGGCTGATTGTAAAATTAAACATGGGTTGTACCAAAATTAATCAGAAATTTTAATTTATGAAACATTTCAAAATTAACTAAAGTTAGTTCAGGGTAATTAAAACTAAAATGAATTCCCCCGCAAAAGCATTGATTGACTGACAGCATGTAATCTATTAAGAGAATTAAAATTGATGCATAAACTATTATTGTAAAGATTATACGATACATGACTGATATTCTCGCGTAGCGCCTGCTATCGCCTCGTTTCGAAATGCGTCTGCTTGAATAAGGAGACATTTTTGACGGCCCTGAAAAAGAACCTCAAGAACCGTGTTGCACGCGAGGGCAACAAACAATACCCGATTAGATTTGCTTGCCCTGTTCCTTGCTGTCAGTTTTACGCCATTGTTCTAGAGCGGCGGTGGAAGCGAGGCCGTGACTCGGCAGAATTTCACGCTCTCTATGCGCTCTCCGAAGGTTGATTCGGGGGTGATCAGCGGTGATTAACGATGATCAGCAGGGATTTACAATGATCAGTGGTGATCAGCGGTGATTAACGGCAATCAGCTTTACATTGGAACATTTGAATGAATCGGTCAGTAAAAAATAAAAGCTATATTCTAGGCCTAGGGTAAAGACGGTGAGCTAGTGTTTGATGAATGATTAGGTTAGGATTGGCTCCGCTCGTCACTAAAACTGTACAATACTGGCTGACTCGGAACTACGAAGTGCAGAGTTATATAACCACTTGATGACTACGATGTACGAAGTGGTTTACATCGCTCTATTAAGTTTTGGTTCAGTTTGATCCATAAAATAGATTGTTTCTATTGAAGGCCGTCGACTCACGTGCTGTGGCGAAGCTATTGGCATTGACGGTAGGTACTAGCAAAGGTTTTAAACTTGACGCAAGATTCTAATTTTTCCTTACAATTCAAGATGAGCCTATATGAATTAACTTTTCAGGCCCCCTTCTGCTGCCGGCGGCTTTCAATGATAGAAGGATCGATAGTAAAGATGGGATGATTAACAATATTGAATGAAGTAAATTTGTGGTGATCAACATACCAAACATGTGCCGAATCTCTGAAATGTCGATTTGGAGATTGACGGTATCGGATGTACACATTAGCTGACCAACGAGATCTCCTATGTCATCGTGACAATTGATGCACCTTCCAAGTTCCATCAAATTAATAGGGTATAATTCAATTATCACATTTAAATATCGTTTTATTCACTAAAATAATATCAATATTCATCGTGAGAAAGTGCAGGAAAGCTAAATTTGGACAATGCTTGCCCCATCGCTATGTGAGGACTCCCTTAACGAGTCGTTGGCTCTCTTCCATTGGAGTTGTAATATTTCGAATTGTGTCTAATTTAGTTAGGCGCGCTATTTGTCAAACGGAAAGAAATTCTGTAGCTACTAAATATGCTACAATGGCTTTTCCACGTGAGAAAAAATTTATTACATTTCGTAGATGACATCAAGTTCGTACCCTCATCTCTCGTTCGTCTTGTTTTTATTGTTTCAATCAAGGTAATTTGAACGGTTCTTGCAATGCACTGCAAATCCAAGCTTTACCACCACTAACATCATTGGCTCACAGACAGCAAGATATGATTAATTATACCCTAGGACTGGAACTACCAAACGAGTTCAATGGATAACACGGTCAATTTAAATAATTCAAATGCATTTCTAATATGACAAAACAAACCTGATCAGCCATTCAACAAAATCCAATCAGCCAGTATCAGATCTTCAGTCATATGAATACGTGGTTTATTTCAATGAGAAGCAATTGCTCTGAAGAAAGCATTTAACAAGAGTCATTATTTCACTTCAACGGCGTCACCACTTCAACGACGCAAGATTTACTTCTAAAAACTACTGCTTCACAAAGTCTACTAAAGTACCGAAAATTCGTCAAGGGATATGGCGAATGAAACTCGCGATAACGAGATAATTTATTAACTCCTCAAACAGAAAATGAACAAGACAATACAAAATCAGAGTAATAAAATAAAAATCTTGTCAAGGAACACAGGACTAGAACATCATACTTCCTCTCAATAAAAAGACTTTTCCTTACCGACATTTCACAAAAAATGCAGAAAAAGTTCGTCAACAGAAAAAGACTGAGGTTCCGTCATGAGCGATCCTGAGAAACAGAATCGTACTCCGCACATACTATCTCGACACTTTGGTGATGAAATTCACAACACTGAACCCTTAATATTATAATATTATCTACTACGATATTAATCCATCAACATGAACATGCTAGCTTCAGAAAATCAACATTACGTACAGACGAAGACATAGGAATCATAACTAAGAGAGTAGGAACACTTAATCTACTTCCTCAATAGTAGGTCCACCAGCACCAGATGCCGCTCCAGGCATGCCACCTGGCATACCACCGGGCATTCCACCTGCACCTCCGTAGAGCTTGGTAATTACAGGAGAACAAATCTTCTCGACCTCTTTCTGTTTGAACTCAAACTCTTCCTTATCTGCGAGCTGATTTGCATCCAACCACTTGATGGCTTCACTGCAAGCATCTAAAGCCTTCTTGCGCTCCTCTTCTGGCACCTTGTCTTTTAGTTTATCATCTTCGAGAGTAGATTTCATATTGAAGCAGTATGACTCGAGGCTGTTCTTGGCAGCAATCTTCTCCTTTTGCTTATCATCCTCTGCTTTGTATTTTTCGGCATCCTGCACCATTTTCTCGATGTCCTCCTTGCTGAGGCGACCTTTGTCGTTGGTGATGGTTATCTTATTCTCTTTGCCGGTAGACTTGTCGACAGCAGACACGTTCAAGATGCCATTAGCATCGATGTCAAACGTGACCTCAATCTGAGGCACGCCCCGAGGGGCAGGAGGGATGCCAGCGAGCTCGAACTTGCCGAGGAGGTTGTTATCTTTGGTCATGGCGCGCTCGCCTTCGTAAACCTGGATGAGCACACCGGGCTGGTTGTCGGAGTAGGTGGTGAAGATCTGGGAGTGTTTAGTGGGGATGGTAGTGTTCCGCTTGATGAGGGCAGTCATAACTCCACCAGCGGTCTCAATGCCCATGGATAGTGGGGCGACATCGAGGAGGAGTAGATCTTGAACGGCTTCAGATTTGTCACCAGTTAGAATGGCAGCCTGAACTGCAGCACCATAGGCAACAGCTTCGTCAGGGTTGATTGATTTGTTCAACTCCTTCCCGTTAAAAAAGTCTTGAAGCAGCTTTTGGATTTTAGGAATACGAGTTGAACCTCCGACCAATACTATCTCATGGATCTGTCCTTTATCCATTTTGGCATCTCGAAGCGACTTCTCCACAGGGTCCAATGTTCCTCTGAAAAGATCTGAACACATTTCTTCGAATCGGGCGCGGGTAATTGAAGTGTAGAAGTCGATGCCCTCGTAAAGCGAATCTATCTCAATGCTGGCTTGTGCAGCTGAAGATAGAGTCCTCTTGGCTCGCTCACATGCTGTCCTCAATCGTCGTAGGGCTCGCTTATTCTCAGTTATATCTTTCTTATACTTTCTCTTGAACTCCTGGGCGAAATGATTGACAAGACGATTGTCAAAATCTTCTCCTCCGAGGTGAGTATCTCCAGCAGTGGCCTTCACTTCAAAAATACCGTCGTCGATGGACAGGATTTAAACGTCGAAGGTTCCACCGCCCAAATCGAAGATGAGGATGTTACGCTCACCGGCGCCGGTTCCCTTCTTGTCGAGGCCGTAGGCGATGGCTGCAGCTGTTGGCTCGTTGATAATCCTGAGGACGTTGAGGCCAGCAATGGCGCCAGCATCCTTGGTTGCTTGGCGTTTAGAGTCGTTGAAGTAAGCAGGTACGGTAATTACTGCGTCTTTTACAGCCCCTCCCAGGTAGGCTTCTGCGATTTCTTTCATCTTGGTTAACACCATAGAAGAAATTTCTTCGGGAGAAAATGTTTTCATCTCTCCTTTGAATTCGACCTGCAATTTTGGTTTGCCGCTGTCATTGACCACTTTGAAAGGCCAGTGTTTCATGTCACCGGCAACTGTGGGATCTTCGAATTTTCGACCAATGAGTCGTTTGGCATCAAAAATCGTGTTGACAGGGTTAAGCGCGACTTGGTTCTTGGCAGGGTCGCCGATGAGCCTTTCTGTGTCGGTGAAGGCGACGTACGAAGGAGTTGTCCTGTTGCCCTGGTCGTTGGCGATGATCTCGACCTTGCCATGCTGGAATACACCCACGCACGAGTAGGTCGTGCCCAGGTCAATGCCCACTGATGCTCCTTTCACCATCTTCGATTCTGTAAAATAACAAGTCACTTAAAATTTCATTTAAACATTCAGTATTTTTGTATAGTTCTTCAATTAAATTCAATAAAAAAATAGAGAGCACAATGTCAAAGGCATGACAAATGAAACATTTATTTACTTTTGTTCCTGCAGATTATTTTACAACCGTTTCAATAAAAATCTGTATGATCAGTTGCAGCATCAAGTTATTCCTCAATATAGGTAACTAGGTAGGTACACAATAGTTTTAAGTAATTCACTAGCCAAGATATTCAAGCAACAGGCATATTAACAATCACAGCAGCGTTGTAACAAGTGGAAGTTTAAACGCAAGTCGGCGAAGATTTGACAACAAAAGTGGGGACGTTACCAACAACTGTCAAAGAGAGCGAAACGGATAAGATACATACTACATATTGCACATTGCTTCCTTAAGTTCCTTTTCTTAAAAAAACACCAATACTGAGTACTGGCAAGTGGCAATGTCCAACATCTTGATCTCACTCACATTCTAATCAACTTATTTATTGCAAAATTCAGAATTATCATCTTCAAATGACAATATTTACTTCTAGAGTCAGGCATGTTCACAGACGGAAAAATACTTTCATTTCTATTTGCTGATAGAAGGTAGAATTCTATGAAGTATGAATGTTGGTTTATCAATAAAAGAAAAATCTGTCCAGTCTGGTAAGGTAATGTCCAAACTCCAACTCCAAAGTATCAGCAAAAAATAAATACAAAATCTAGTTTCAAATTTTTGGATCCCATCTTTTAAGTGCATTTGCTCATATTATGCCCATCCTGAACTTCAAGGGGGTTTAATTTCTTATAAATTTATAACGCGTACGGTGACTTTGGTGCTCACGCCACTAACTTGTTGAAGCTGTACTTCAACGTCAACGGGAGGCTGAGAGCTACCGGTAACGCGGTAAGATGGTTTCACAATGCAATATTTACGCACTAACACACTGCTAAGTAAATTTAATAACTTACCAGTAAATATCGCAGTTAATTTGGTCTTTTTAACACTGATGCGTATCAGTAATTACAGCCTTTATTACACACGCTTGGACGCTCAATATCCGAGATAGCTGAAAGTTTCTCACAGTACGTGCACGCTTTCAATGCTTGCTCAAGTCTGATGCGAGCTGGCAATCTTGCCGCGTTTATATAACAGTCCCAGCTGGCAAGCTTCTAGCGTTTTCTGGCAGGCTATAGTAAACACGAAAATTTCAGGGCAGCCAACTGCAGAAATTTCTCGACTCGTGAGACTTTGAAACAGAATTATGAAGAGGAACATGAATTCGTGCTTTATTACTTATTCTTATCGTTAAAAAAAAGAAAATCGAGTTTCAAATTATATTGTTTGAAAATGTACAAACGGATAAGCCAGAATGTGCTTGTAATCGCAAAGTTTGTGGGAATGAACGCATCAAACACCGATTCGACACTTCAGCGAACTCGCGTGCGAACTCGCCTGCGAGCTCGAACTTCATTTTCAACTCTGGCACTCATAACTCCTTCAATTATGAACGGATTTTATTCAAATTTGAAATATAAGTAGATAATATCAGTACGCTGCGGTGAGTATTTTTTTCAAATTTTTTCATCGATAATCCGCAGCGTACTGATATTATCTACTTATATTTCAAATTTGAATAAAATCCGTTCATAATTGAAGGAGTTATGAGTGCCAGAGTTGAAAATGAAGTTCGAGCTCGCAGGCGAGTTCGCACGCGAGTTCGCTGAAGTGTCGAATCGGTAAATATGGGAAGCACATACATATGTTTTGCCTTCTACTTCCTAAATTTACTGGAGCTTGTAATAAAAGCAAAAATAGATTACTTAACCGCAAAATTTGGGTCAAATTGAAAGTGATTCATTCTTTTCTATCTCCTAGATTACACGAAGCATGGAAAATATAGCGCTTTTTTTCTTCAACAGACCCTGCTTTCCCACAGAGATGTTCTAGAATCAATAGAGACGCATGACCGTTATTCCCGAACGCCCTGTTTGTTGTAGAACTTTCCACATTTTAACTCTTTGCTCATTATTGCATCAACGATCATCAAAGATGCCTCCTGCCTAAGTATTTACAATAAAATATTTATATACGATGAATACATGGTGAATGAAAACACATGCCAATGTAGATGATAAGGTAGATTTCGCAATGAAAACGTACTTGTCCTTATATATAAACATATATAAGCAGGACGTTAGAATAATATGATTTCATATGATATGAAATAACAATAATAATAAGCAGGCTTGCGGAATTCACCAACAAAACAATTAAGAAATTAAGGAAACGCGAATAAATTGCTTTTTTCTCTCATTTGTTATTATTATTTTGCGACGAGGTTACTGCACGTTACGCTTGGAAGTACATATTTATCACATAATGATTATACATTCAGAAAATATCAGGGTGCCACTTAACTAATAAATCATTTTTAGCGCATTTTCTCATTTATGAAAAAAATGCACTATTGTGCTCGCCATGTCCGTCTATCCGTCCGTCTGACCGTCTGTCTGTCCGTCCGTGACTTCACGTTTTCGTCGACGAGAAAATGCGCTTTCTGTCACTCACAGTGACTCACTGCAGTGAGTACTGAATTATATTTTTTTGTGTTGGACTCGCACATAATCGTAAAAATGGTCACAGTTATAAATCGAGTGATGGCCACATGAAGTTTTAGGTATATTAACAATTTTCATGGCTCAAGAAACTATTAGAATCGTCCATATAAATTGATGGACCAGAAATTAAACGCAAAAAAATTTTCGTAAGTTGAAGAAAATATAAATATCATTAGAAATGATGGATTCATCATATGTGTTGGATATTAATACGCGTTAGGATTTCATGAACTTTCCATCTCTTATTCTTGGTAAGGTGAATTTTCTTTGGAAATTCTTTATTTCATTAGTATGATGGATCGTGAATTGTACCTATGTTAGACACGTAAGTTTTTCAATGCTCGTGCAGTTTTCACGTGTTTTAAAATAATATAAGAGGTGCTTAATTTATGTTTTATAAAATTTAAATACTAAAACTATTCCATGAACTGAGGACCATGATGTGAAGTTGTTTATCCGTGGCATGTTAATTGACTACGAAGCTTATTTCATGCATTACAAAATTCAAAGGCATTCTTAAAATCTATTTTCTTTCCATAGACACAGTCATACATAGTATAGTTGTCGATACGTTTATTTGTATCTCAATCAATCATCCACTCACAATTCTTGTGGTTTAAATTAATCAGATAAAAGAAACATAGACGTACTCGTACTACAGTGTCCGCGTCAATGAGAGCCGTAAACACGAAAAAGAAAATTGAAATGACCAATTGCTTGATTAAATACGAAATTTAATACCTCGTGTGAATTTCATCAATGTAATTATAACGAAAGACACTGTGTTTTAAAAACACCGAATCAAAATCACGCTGAAAGAATTTAATCAGAATCACAGATGATAACATTACCAGCAGATTTTGGCATTCATTGATCGTGGGCTTGGTTTGGTGGCTATCAAGCTACCAAACCCCACAGCTTCACGGAAAAATTATAACGACTTTCATTGGGCATGTATACAAACTTGTTTCAGTAATATTCTGAGAGTCTGTTATTCGCTCTTCATTGTTTAAGATGAATTATTTTATCTGTAAACAGATGAATTTGAGTCGCTGCTTCACTCGATGCTTCTCGAACCATCGGAGAACTCATGGAACCGCCTTCTCGAGACCTCGTTCTCTAGAAACTTCTAGAAAATTGCGTCAGCAGCGGTGACTGATATATAAGTAGCGTCCCGCTGGTGGCGGCATTACTCAACTGAGCTACCAAACGACTCTGAAGCGATCGCTGAGACGAGTAAAGTGACCAAGTGTTTGAAGCTGCATTCTAACTAAAGTAGTCAGATTCGAAAGAAGAGGGCAAATTATCGTCTACATCTGCATTGTTACGTGTGTGAAGTAAGAAAACAAGTTTATCTACTCACCGACTTCTTAAGAAGTAGCTTTGAGGTAAGACCTTGATGTAATTTGTTCTCTAACTAGGAGAGCATTAAATTGCATTTGAGCGTCCAAATTTAATAACTAATATTTGAAAAATTATCTGGAATAACTTTTTACGATGATTACTCTGATATTGATATCGTGCATAATAATGCTCAGAGGACATGCATTCGATCATAATTGTCGGAGATCGATTGAATAGTTCATAAATGTGAAAAGTTTTGATAAACTTCGATCACATTTAATCGAATCGATCGAACTATTGATCGGGGAGGAGCGAATTCGTTGTTCGATTCGTTTGAGTGAATTCGTTGGCGGTGGAAATTAAACTGTTGTGTTGATATTTTTTCTAGTTAATTAAGAAGACACTCAAGAGCTGTATTTTTTGTGCAGGAAGCATTATAAGATGAAAACTAAAGGCGCTACCGCAGTGGGAATTGACCTGGGCACGACCTACTCGTGCGTGGGTGTGTTCCAGCATGGCAAGGTCGAGATCATCGCCAACGACCAGGGCAACAGGACAACTCCTTCGTACGTCGCCTTCACCGACACTGAAAGGCTCATCGGTGACCCCGCCAAAAACCAAGTCGCACTCAATCCAATTAACACAGTTTTTGACGCCAAAAGGCTCATTGGCCGTAAATATCACGACCAAACTGTCTCCAGTGACATGAAACACTGGCCATTCAAAGTTATTGATGTTGATGGAAAACCTAAAATCAAGGTGGAATACAAAAACGAAAACAAGACCTTCAGTCCTGAAGAAATATCGTCCATGGTTCTGATGAAGATGAAAGAAATCGCCGAAGCCTACCTGGGAGGTGCTGTAAAAGACGCAGTAATTACCGTACCTGCTTACTTCAACGACTCTCAACGCCAAGCAACCAAGGATGCTGGCGCCATTGCTGGCCTCAACGTCCTCAGGATTATCAACGAGCCAACAGCTGCAGCCATCGCCTACGGTCTCGACAAAAAGGGCAGCACAGCAGGTGAAAGAAATATTCTAATATTTGATTTGGGCGGCGGAACTTTTGATGTCTCCATCCTGTCCATCGATGATGGCATTTTTGAAGTGAAAGCAACTGCCGGAGATACTCACCTTGGAGGAGAAGATTTCGACAACCGTCTAGTTAACCATCTTGCGCAGGAGTTCAAGCGGAAGCACAAAAAAGATATTTCTGAGAACAAGCGAGCTTTGCGACGATTGAGGACAGCCTGTGAACGAGCGAAGAGAACCCTATCCTCCTCTGCACAAGCCAGCATTGAGATCGACTCTCTTTTCGAAGGCATTGATTTCTACACATCCATCACTCGCGCCCGATTCGAAGAAATGTGCTCTGACCTCTTCAGAGGTACACTCGATCCCGTTGAGAAAGCACTAAGAGATGCGAAAATGGACAAAGGACAGATCCATGAGATAGTATTGGTTGGAGGTTCTACTCGTATCCCTAAAATTCAAAAGCTGTTGCAGGACTTCTTCAACGGCAAGGAGTTGAACAAATCAATCAACCCTGACGAAGCTGTAGCTTACGGCGCCGCTGTTCAAGCCGCAATTCTCAGTGGTGATAAATCGGAAGCTGTCCAGGATCTGCTTCTTCTCGATGTTGCCCCTCTGTCGTTGGGGCTTGAAACTGCTGGAGGCGTCATGACTGCTCTCATCAAGCGTAACACTACCATTCCTACTAAGCAGACTCAAACTTTCACCACCTACTCCGACAACCAGCCCGGTGTGCTCATCCAGGTTTACGAAGGCGAGCGCGCCATGACCAAAGACAACAACCTCCTCGGCAAGTTCGAGCTCACAGGCATCCCTCCTGCCCCTCGGGGCGTGCCTCAGATTGAGGTCACGTTTGATATCGACGCCAATGGCATCTTGAACGTATCTGCTGTCGACAAGTCCACCGGCAAGGAAAACAAGATCACCATCACCAACGACAAAGGTCGCCTCAGCAAGGAGGAGATCGAGAAGATGGTACAAGACGCTGAAAAGTTCAAAGATGAAGATGATAAGCAAAAGGAGAAAATTTCAGCTAAAAATTCATTAGAGTCTTATTGCTTTAATATGAAATCAACTCTTGAAGACGACAAATTGAAAGATAAAATTCCTGAAAATGATCGTGAGAAAGCACTGAACGCGTGTAGCGATGCCCTCAAATGGCTGGACGCTAACCATCTGGCAGAAAAGGAAGAATTCGAAGATAAGCAGCAGGAAGTGGAGAAAGTGTGCGCTCCCTTGATCAGCAAGCTGTATGGGGCAACTGGTGGACCGATGCCTGGGGGACCAAGTGCGCCCGCGGGTGGACCAACTATCGAGGAAGTGGATTAGGTTATGAAAAAATACTAGACTTCAATGAACGTAATACTATTTGTAAATAGATACTCATGTATGTATGTAAATAGATATTATTTTAATGTAAATAGATTTAATGTAAAACTTCTGCCAAATTACACCAAATAGATATTATGTATGTATGTAATTAAACACAGCGTACGTTACCTAAATGCATAATTATTTACTTGATCACTTGCGATGCCGAATCAATGTGCGCTTTGTAGCCGAATAGGCAGTAATTGAAATTCGAATTAGCTGACAAGTTGAAGTTACTTGTATAGTACTGATCTGTCATTGTAAATTGTGTTTCTTGTCATAGATTATTATGAATTTATATCCCTCAATCTTTTGTGAGTAGTGTACGTAGTCTCTTTTTAAAGCCTTTTTAATTAAGCTATCACTCTCATAGTACGCGGTAAGAGAGATAATATATTCTTGTAGAAATAGTTGTTAACTGTTACAAATAAATGTATAAACTTTATCTTGTACTTTTATAACCTTAAAATCATGAAATTTTATAATATTTTAAACTCAATCACTATTAGGCGCTGCAATCAGAAATACCATTAAAGTTTTATATCTGTTGTTCAATAGCACTATTCCTTATCATAATGAGAGATCTAGAAATTCCGTAACGATGGAAGCAAGAGCTACAAATCTAGAAGATCATGTGGCTGGGCGTCAAGGATTAGTGAGCGATTTAATATGAATTCACATAGTGTGAATTGGCACGCAATATTGAAGAAGTTTCGATAAATTTCGATCACATTAAATTTTCATCTGCAATACCTTTATTCTCTCATGAGTAAATAACTTTTTCTCTCCATAGTTCGTTTTAGGGTAATCTATTTTTGATATTCCCTTATCATTTGACTATAATAACATTTTGTAATCTTTACCTCTCGTAAACAACGTTTAATAAAATGGAGGGACTAGGGAAAATAGGGCAACGAAAGGTGAGGGAAATGAAACTGAAATAAGAATTAAGTACAGTTAAATCTAAGTGAACAGACAGGTGGATTAACCAAAATGAGGAAAACAAATCAATATATTCAATAGTTGTCCCGTGAATCATGAAATGCACCTCAGATGCAAAAAGCATGTTAACTCATCATAAATAACTGTGAGTAAATTTGAAGTACTGAGGACGAAAACTATACCCGTTACCCTTTGGTTACGATGCATGTCTGCCGGCGGGGTAGTGCAGGTCGAGCCGTCGGTACTTTTGATTACAAGTTTCACGAATATCTGCAATCGATTTATGGCTTAGAAAATATAGTAAAAAGTTGTGTCCGGAAACTGTTGTGAGGACAAAATGAGCCTTGCGAACCTTGGTAAACGTGGTGGTTATAAATCAAATTTAGAGATTCTTGTTGCATTACTTGTAAAAAATATATATAGAGTATCACTGCAGCTAAAATCTCTTGCATGTTGCGAGAACGGGCTAATTACGTTAGACCAGTGATTCATAAACTTTCCTATTTTATAGGCTTTCCAAACTAGTGCTTTGCCTGCTTTCCTAACCTTTTATGGCAAACAAAGAAGAAAAATGTATTTATTTTATGCTCGTATAACGAGTTTATTTACATAGACAAAAGGAATTATACAGACAACATGGAAAAAAACGACAATTATCAGTCGGGCGTACAGTGAAATGCAACAGTGGTTGGAATGTGAAGCCCGTATCCTTTAACTACAACTGCAAATGCAACAAAGCAGCCCCTAGAGTCCTAGGCGTTCAATAATATTACTTAATATTGTGGTTTGCACAATAATATTGAGCCTCTATAGGCCATATTGACGAGTTGTGCAATATATTGCGTGATTTTCAGAATCTTGGAAATGTATTGCGCAAACGGGAAGATATGGGCCGTCTATAGGGGCTACATTGCGCATGCGCATTGCGCAATATTCGCTCAGTGCGTCACAGCCATCGATCGTTCTTGGTGGGTGCGACCATGGTTGAATTAATACATATTTCAACCATGGGTGCGACGATCTCGTGTCATCATGGCGGGCAACTTTTTTTGGACTTTATCGACCTTTATAGCGGCTTTAAGCTTTATGGGATGTTAAATGCTAAGATTATACTATAATTATTTGAAAGGAGGGAGCAGTCCTAGGGACTGATTAAAATGTTCATTCAGTTTATGCAATAATTTTTCGTGAGTAAACTTCTCCCTCTCAATAAACCAGGAAGATTTCTCCCTTAATGCGAGCTTTTTTTCTTTTATAATTTACGATTTGCAGCTACAACAATTATGACTCAACCCAATACAGTTACGCTCAACAGATTGACTCCTCTAAGTTCATGCAGGGGCTGTTGGCGCAATATGGTTGTACGTCTGAAGGCAAGATTGAGCAACCTCTCTCAATACGAATCCTATCCAAGATATGGAGCAATAATATTGAGCGTCTAAGAGCAGACATCAATTTTTTTAGCTAACTCTATAGCGAAATAATATTGAGCGTTTAGAGGGCTGTCGTCAATATATTGTGCAAACCACATTACGCATTAATATTGAGCGTCCAAAACCATATTGAGAGATCGCACACAATATTACGCAATCATACCCTGCATGCAGACGTACGTACAATCATATTGCGACAACTGCTCTGCCAGAATTTTAAGAAGACATTATGATGGGCCAAACTGAATCCTATTGTTTCTTCATTATGCAGCCGAAAGTCGATGAATATAAAAGAGAAAAGGCTGGCCAAAATGGAGAAATTGTCCAAACACTGGTTTATTGACGGAGAAGTTTATTCGCTGAAAATTACTTAATGAACGGATAAAATTTTTTAATCGGTATCTCGCGCTGCTCCCTTTTTTCGTAGAATTATTATAATCTTTGCATTTCACATGCCGTATAGCGAGGAGACCACTATAAAGCTCTATCAAGTCCAGAAGAAGGATCTTCCACCCGCCATGATATGGACAAGCAATCGACTACTATACTTGTAACGATCGCTATAGGGACGCACTGAGCGAATGTTGCCAGTTGCGTAAGTTGCAAGGTAGGGGCGCAAAAAGGTATTGTCACGATGTCACGGGCTGCATGGTTACCGACGGGTGGCTTAATCCGCGGCTGATTGGTGGTCATCCGGAAATATGCTTGGCGTTCCTTTCAAGGCTGATTGGCGCACAAATTTGGTGGTGCACGGCTGTGTACCCGTCATGTCATGTGCCGTCTTGAAGTCGCGTTCGAACGTGACATGAGTTCAGTCGTGTTCTTGATACGTGGTTTTAGAACAGAGGATAGCTGAGCCATCGGTGAAGGATTATAATACAAAGATACAGAGATTTTCATCCTTTTTCCAGATCAGGTTTGAACATAGAACCAAATGCCGCATACTATTATGATGGAGCATAAAGCTGCTTACTACTTACGGTTAGCTTCGCATTCTGATCGTGTTTTTTTCCAAATCGTTGCATCCACAACCATGCAGAATACTTACGAACAAACGAATCTTGAAACAAAAATGAGCAAGCAAGTGGATGTTTCGCGCCAGCAATCAAGTTTTTAATAGTTTTACTGCATGAATCTGGCTCATTTCAGTTATTAATAAAAGAAAAATTCTCATGAAGCGTTTTCACATGACTGGTTAATTAAAGATGATTTATTTTCTTGGATTTTTTAGCTCCTCATTGTGGATGGGATGCATTTTCAAGATTTTTTGCCCGTTTCATAGTTAATTTACATCTTCGCTTTTCTTTTATTTAAAACCTTAAAACTTATCTGAAAACCCAGAACTTGAGAAATTAATCTAAGCCATAAATTACTTCGCTTAGCGAAATAATTTATGGAGTAAGCCTTATTACTTATAAGCGAAGTAAGCATAATTACTTCGCTTCCATAAATTGCTTACCTCGTGCATTTCTTATATTTAATCGCTTTCTGCGGTTTTTTAACACTGGCTGCCTACTGCATCACTTAATTGTCTACTTTGACCTGCCTCCAATGCATAAGTGGAGCAAGTGTTTTCACAAGTCACCTATGTGAAAAACAAGCAACGAAATAAAATTTTAACTAAGGTACTAGTGTCCCTTATTCGGACCAAAAGCTATCTGCTCAACCGCAACAAGTGATCAAACCCGAAATGTTAGATAAATGCAATATGCAAGCATGTACGAAAATAAGCAAAAGGAATTAAGATGACCTGTTTCCGTGGCTTGATCATGTTTAGCGAAGGGGAAGAAGTGAAGAAGTCCCCAATGGTTTATGAGGTAACCACAAACCTCATGAATTACTCGCCCCGGGCATTCAAGAGCCCCATCAGCCTCTCTCCGTCCTCCCCGGACCGTGAGAGGCCATCGGTCGGCCAGAGCATGTAGGCGCCGGACGGCGGACGACCGCTGGCAATTCACCGGCCACCTGAAAGCCGCGCCTTGCCTCAAGAACAATATCCTTGAGGTCAGGGACGTGTCTCCCACAAATATGTCGTTGAAGTGATTACGAGACCAAGGCTTGGGACGATAGAACCAACACGCAAGCTCAGATTTTACAGCGATCTGCTAGTCTCAGGGAATTCAGACTTCGCACTGCGATACCCTAGACTATTAATTAAGTAAGCGTTGGACGCTCTGACATTTCTCCGGCCGGTTTCGCGGCGAGTTTACGAATTTACTGAGGTCAAAATATCACCCTAACTACTGAACAGATTTTGATATAATTTCATAATGTATTCATGTCATCTATCCGGTGATGTTTAAGCAAGTACGAATTTTTTTGCATTTGTGTAATTAAATGGCTATAGCAACTCATTAAAAATAAAAAATAAACTATCAACCTGGAATCAACCTCTTATTAAATTGTCTACACATTGTCGTTTGTTTGATTACACTGTTTGGAATAGAAACCTACATCAGAGCTTAATAACGTGAATATGTAATCGAATTCATAGAAATTTTCCGAACTCAACATCAACAAACGACTCATCAATATCAATTCAAATTTGACGTTTCATTAAAATTTGTCAATCCGAGTTTCTTTGAGGCTCACAGGAATTAGAAGATGGACCTCGTGACCTTGAGTCACGTCCAATAGACGTTGGAATACCAGCCGAAGAAAATCGCCCCAACTCAGGCACGTAGCCCAACGGCAAGAGCCCGCACTGGAATAGTCGCTAACATTCCACATGCCACTTTATGGCACGAGAGAAGCGTGCTGATCAACAATATCAAGCTACAATAATGAGTCGAAGTCGCATCACGAAAACGCTTCAAATTCCTATGTAGCTGGGCACTGAGCAGCTATGGTAAGGAATGGTTAATCATTATCATAACTAAAGTCAACTCACTCGGTATTAGGACCTCTTACCTGACCTATCTTTAACTTTCGAACCTAGAGCATTGAAAAATATTTATTTACCAAAAATTCGAGAACAAATTGATGGTTCCATATAGGATGACCTTTCAATAAAAACACCAGCTAAGGATATAGTTTATAAACTTGGCAATCAAATAGAAAGGAAAATTTCGCCTTAAAATCGGGCAATCAAACTAAATGCCCTCAAAAATAATGCAAGACTAGATTTATAAGAGATATACTAAATACTAATTAGTCCGTTTATACCGACAAACTGAGTAAATTCATATCATAACACCTAAATAGGTTTAGTCTAATGGAACTTGTAATCATAAACAATGAACGGCAAATATAAATAATTGTATCTTACAAAAAACACTTTTATCTTAGTGTAAACGCAAAATGGATCAGAATAGCCGACAGTCACAAAAGACGCCGAGTATTCCTCTAACAAAAACTAGAAGAATAACTTCCTTACATAGGATATAACGGAATGAATATTTTTTTTATGGCGCTGGCACTCACTTTCAAGACAATAGAATTCTTTGCGAAGAACATGGCCTCCTAGAACTTACAATTTAATCTACTTCCTCAATAGTTGATCCACCAGCACCAAATGCTGCTCCTGGCATACCACCTGCACCTCAGTAGAGCTTACTAATCAAGGGAGAACATATCTTCGCAATTTCATTCTGTTTGAACTCAAACTCTTCCTTCTCTGCGAGCTGATTAGCATATATCCACTGGATGGCTTCGCTGCAAGCATCTAAAGCCTTTTTGCGCTCCTCTTCTGACACCTTGTCTTTGAGTTTATCATCTTCGAGAGTAGATTTCATGTTGAAGCAGTATGACTCAAGACTGTTCTTTGCAGCAACCTTCTCTTTTTGCTTATCATCCTCTGCCTTGTATTTTTCGGCATCCAGCACCATCTTCTCGATTTCCTCCTTGCTGAGACGACCTTTGTCGTTGGTGATGGTTATGTTATTCTCCTTGCCGGTAGAATTGTCGACAGCAGACACATCCAAGATGCCATTAGCATCGATATTAAACGTGACCTGGACCTGAGGCACGCCTCGAGGAGCAGGAGGGATGCCAAACAGTTCAAATTCACCGAGAAGGTTGTTGTCCTTTGTCATGGCGCGCTCGCCCTCATAAACCTGGATGAGCACACCAGGCTGGTTGTCCCAATAAGTGCTGAAATTTTGGGAGTGTTTAGTGGGGATGGCAGTGTTCCGCTTAATGAGTGCTGTCATAACTCCACCAGCTGTCTCAATGCCCGTGGATAGTGGGGCGACATCGAGGAGGAGTAGATCTTGAACGGCTTCAGATTTGTCACCTGTTAGAATGGCAGCCTGAACTGCAGCACCATAGGCAACAGCTTCGTCAGGGTTGATCGATTTGTTCAATTTCTTGCCGTTGAAGAAGTCTTGCAGCAGTTTTTGAATTTTGGGAATACGAGTTGAACCCCCAACCAATACAATGTCGTGGATATGTCCTTTATCCATTTTAGCATCTCGAAGCGACTTCTCCACAGGGACCAGCGTTCCCCTGAAAAGATCTGAACACATTTCTTCGAATCGGGCGCGGCTAATTGAAGTGTAGAAGTCGATGCCCTCATAAAGTGAATCAATCTCAATGCTAGCTTGTGCAGATGATGATAGAGTTATCTTGGCTCGTTCACACGCAGTCATCAGTCGTCGCAAACTTCGCTTATTATCTCTGATATCCTTCTTATATTTTCTCTTGAATTCTTCAACGAAGTGAATGACAAGAAGAATGTCAAAATCTTCTCCACCAAGGTGAGTATTTCCAGCAGTGGCCTTCACTTCAAAAATACCGTCGTCGATGGACAGGATGGAAACGTCGAAGGTTCCACCGCCCAAATCGAAGATGAGGATGTTGCGCTCACCGGCGCCGGTTCCCTTCTTGTCGAGACCGTAGGCGATGGCTGCAGCTGTTGGCTCGTTGATAATCCTGAGGACGTTGAGGCCAGCAATGGCGCCAGCATCCTTGGTCGCTTGGCGTTGAGAGTCGTTGAAGTAAGCAGGCACGGTAATGACTGCGTCTTTTACAGCCCCTCCCAGGTAGGCTTCGGCGATTTCTTTCATCTTGGTCAACACCATAGAAGAAATTTCTTCGGGAGAAAATGTTTTCATCTCTCCTTTGAATTCGACCTGAAATTTTGGTTTGCTGCTGTCATTGACCACTTTGAAGGGCCAGAACAGCATGTCACCGGCAACTATTGGGTCTTCAAACCTACGCCCTATAAGTCGTTTAGCATCAAAAATCGTGTTGTCAGGATTGAAGGCGACTTGATTCTTGGCAGCATCACCAATCAGACGCTCGGAGTCTGTGAAGGCGACGTAGGAAGGAGTTGTGCGGTTGCCTTGATCGTTGGTGATGATCTCGACATTGCCATGCTGGAACACACCCACGCACGAGTAGGTCGTGCCCAGATCAATGCCCACTGATGCTCCTTTCACCATCTTGGATTCTGTAAAATAATGACCATTGACCACAAGTTTAATCTAATAATTCTAATTTTAGTTCCACAGTATAAGCATTTCAAAACAGTTCAATTCAAAGAATAGAACAAAATAAGATCGTAAACGCGTTACTGACTGATTTCGCTCATGAAATATTCTAAATATTTCGTTCAAATTATGCTAACATCTGTCTAGCACGACTTTAGGAGCTTCGCATTTCGTAAAGGGTAACTTACCACTCCTTCAAGTCATTACTGGGTCATGAGGCTAATGAGAGAGATAATTATTAAATTACAAATTTTGCACCATTTAGTGTTTCAAGGTTTATCTACAACTTCAATAAGTATCTCACAAGCAAGTTAACTACTTTAAAGAATATCAAGTTCTAAAATTGTTCAAGAATTGAAACGCCGTGAGGTCGGCAAGGACAGATTTGAGTCATTTTCCATTTTAACAATGAGATTCAATGATGCGGCGTCACGATTTTGAAATGCATTGCACACACACTCGCTTCCCGTTAACCAATTAAACATAGCTTTATTAGCAAAGTCCTGAATAGTACAATACATTCTACAATTTTATACTACTTTAGTCAACCTTAGAAATAAATCTTTAATACGTACATTCAAAACGACCATCAAACTGCAATAGGCTAATTACGACACTTCCTGCAGTTTCTCCGCAAATCTTCATTAAATCCTCAAATAAATCGAGATTATTAGAACTGCAAGCAATTTAAGTTAAGTTCTTCAGCAAAGTTCTTCAGACTTCTAGTGAGCATGAACCCTGGTTCACCTAATAACAGTTCAACGCTTAAACTAACAGTTGTGCAGTATAGGACAGAAGTTGGATCAATATCGTTATCATTATTCAGTACTATACATTGAAATCATACGACAAATGAATAACTTACCTCTCAAAATCAAATGTGAACGAATTATTTTTCGCACAGAACTGAAATTTATTTACAACAACGTATCAACACAGCACGATATGAATCAAGAAACTTCAAGCCGGCTTAGCTTGACGCGCACATCGTCGCTGCTTGCTAGAATCTCATGACGTCCAACCGCCAACGTACGAGTCGGCTTATACTTTTACTGTCTGTTGGTAAGTTTCAAGCCTTTCTGGCGCGCAATACAGATCACAAACTTCCCAGAGCAGTTTCTTCCAGAATTTCTCGATTCAAAACGATTTTAAGCTAAATAAATATACCTTATATGAATTAAATTTTAATTAGTATCAAAGTATAACTACAATTAACTGCGTGTGAATTGTGCAATTTATGCTATGAATTTTTTTTTCAGTTCGGTCGTAGATGAGGAGTCATTACAATTTGTTGCATGCTGCTTTAGCGATTTGCTTGCATCCAGATAGCGCCAGACAAGACTTCCCATGAATGAATGCAAATGTGAAATGTGCAGGGATCTATGAAACCAGGCAGTGACTGTGCCACAAAAAATGTACCATTTAACGTAATTTTCTACTTAATTCTATCCCCTATATTGCATAAAATATGGAACTCGATGTTTAGAAATTTGTCTACATTCGTGGGTCTACACTTCCCAGAAGCTCCAGAACGCATGACCGTTAAACCCGGGGCGGGTGCCGGAGGACTGCTTCGGCCAACTTACACTTTATTCAAATTCCTTTCCGTGGCTAAGAACGGTGGAGGGAATAGAAGTCTAGTTCTCAAAGCCACACCGCCGTATGTCCACAGCTGCCGCTTGAGCATGCCCAAGTGCTCAAGTGGTCATACTGCATCTCGCCAAACCTATTCCCGCCTAAACTCTTCTGGCCTCACCTACACACGTTGTAACATTTCTCCACCCAAAACGAACCTGAGTGGACCTAACCTAACCTCATTAATTGGCTGCAGGACGTTAGAGAGGAGGGGTCAATGAGAAGGTAGAGTCAGTCATTGGCAACAAGAAGGTTGTGATGCAGGGCAGCGCGAATAGATTTAGCCAGAAGACGTTAGGCCAGTGGTTCCCAAAGTGGGCGATATCGCCCCCTAGGGGCGATGGAAAGATTTTGAGGGGCAATAAAGAAGAAGAGGGCGTTTGGGGGGCGATAGGGGGGCGGCAGTCCGAAGTCGAAGTCAGAAGTTCGAACGTTTGTTTGACGATTTGTACACAACACGTGCAGCACATGACTCACAGCGATGGTTTTTTCACCCAGATCTGTTTTTAGCGCATTTACTCATTTATGGAAAAAATGCACTATTGTGCTCGCTTTGGGGGGCGATAGGGGGGCGGCAGTCCGAAGTCGAAGTCAGAAGTTCGAACGTTTGTTTGACGATTTGTACACAACACGTGCAGCACATGACTCCCAGCGATGGTTTTTTCACCCAGATCTGTTTTTAGCGCATTTACTCATTTATGGAAAAAATGCACTATTGTGCTCGCCAAGTCCATCCGTCTGTCTGTCCGCCTGTTTGTCAGTCCGTGACTTCACGTTTTCGTCGACGAGAAAATGCGCGCACTGTCACTCACTGCAGTGAGTACTGTGCTATATTTTTTAACCTCTCCTGGTCACATACTTTCAAAAAAAGTTGAGAGATCGTAAGTTCATCAGCCAATCATTGACGGCCTTTCAAGCCACTCTTTTAAAAACAGTTAAGAGATCGTAAGTTCATCAGCCAATCATTGACGGCCTTTCAAGCAAAATCCACCAATCATAGGCAAGAAAGTAGAGCGTAAGTACTTACGTTCACTTAGCTAATTTTGAAAGTATGGCCCCAGATTCGGACGAAATTTTGAATTTACAGTCCTAACTACCGAACGGTGATGTTTAGCTCGTAAAAATTTTTTCGATTGTGCCTTCGTTCGCGAGTTTCATTCGTGATTTAAACAGCAATACGTGCTTAAATTCGCAGTAATCAAGAAATTTCTTGCAAACTACTGATCAGGTTTGAACGAAATTTAGTATTTTAATACCTAGCCTCAGCATCGGTGATGTTTAGCTCGTTACAATTTTTTCGTTTCGCCTTCGTTTGTGAGTTATACGGCTATACATAAACGGCTCTTTGTTAAACCAGCCGGTAGAAAAGCCAATCGTTTCTCCTATATCTGTATAACCTGCGAACGAAAGCAAATAAGGACGTTTGAAATCAAGAATGACGGTAAAATGAAAAAAATCTCGCAAACGACGGTAAAATAAATAATTACAAAAACACCATTTGGTAGTTAGGAATGTATATTCAAAATTTCGTTCAAATCTGTTCGGTAGTTTGGAAGAAATTCTTTGATCACAGCGAATTTCGCCCTGTATCGCAATATAACTCACGAACGAAAGTGATATTTAAAAAATTTTCGCAAGCTAAACGTAACCGTTAAGTTCTGATGAATACATGTTCCAAGTTTTATTGAGCTGCGTTTATTAGTTTGGGTGATATTCCTTGATAACTGAATTTGGGATTGGTCGTGAGACCGGCCACTAGTCCGGCCGTAAATTTGCCCGAGACGTCCTAAGTTTCTTGTGCTGAAACAGTTACAACAGCTGAAAAACATAGTGGTTCACCAAATGGGGTTCTATTTGTGAAATACACATTTGTGTTTAACCTGTATCTTTAAAAATTGCAGCGTACTAAATTTCAAGAAAGAGGCGTATGTTGTTATATGTCTGTGGGGGGCGCTAGAAATTCACTAGGGAGCCAAAGGGGGCGCCAGCCGGAAAAAGTTTGAAAACCATTGCGTTAGGCCATGTAAATGAGGCCACATGCAGAAGTGCCTGCTTATGAGGGAGCAAGCTGAAGTTTTGGCTGAAGACCTACGGCACTATTATCGATAAGCAGTGTTTTATTGGTACAGATTATGATTTTCCAGCGTAGACTGCGGCTTTTTATCTCTGAGGCTGCGTAAAATAATTGCATGCTGCGACTGAGCGTTGGCTTCATGACTTATTTAACAGTTAAATTTGTTGTTCACGGCTGCGCTCCCTTATACCCGATGCCCTCCTACTATTAGCCATCTTTTGGCTCATTATATTTTAAATTGACCAATGGCCATTACTTAAAAATCAGACTGCTTACGATTAGGAAGTGAATGATTCATCTAGAAGTCGGGGAAATAAAATACTATTGAAGAGTGAGGAAGCATTTTTTAGAACATACGAAAGAAGGACGCATTAAGAAAGTACTTTTCCTGGAAATTTTATACCTTAGCATCAGCAAACTAATTCGATCTAAATGCAATATCACTTTTTATGCTATTATTTTAATCGCGATTAGGTTGTAATAACAGTAAAAGCAATTTATTTTAACTGAATCTATATTACACTATTCGCTGTGCACAAAATCATCATAATGCCACATCCCAAATCTCAGACTTTTTCTAGTCATGCAATCGCATCATTATACATTAAAGGACGTTTAAATTACAATCATGATAGCGATGAAAATAATGAGGTATTTTTTTACAAAAATCGATACGTCATTTTCTGTAATTGCGGTGCAAGAGTTTTGAGTCCTAGATCTGTGGGTGGCAAAGAATTCAGTCTGAACCATATCCATTCTAACCATAAAAGTATCCACATGTACATCCACCGAGGACGGGGTGACGAGGGGGAAAAAATTTCCGTCCTGCTGACACGGCTGCACTCCCAAGAGCACCAACAGGGCCACTTCAACTGGGGCACTCTCACCCCGCGGTCACTTCCACCCCACACTACCCCGGCCCTTAAAAAACCATTTTTGGTCCCCCTTAGGCGTCCGTTCCCGTCCCAATTGAAAGGGGGGCGCAGAAATATTTTTTTTAGTCTTCTGTTCCCTATCCGTTCTGCCTAATAAGGGAACCCTCCACTCTCCGGATCTACAACCAAGGAACTTCGCCAGAAATAAATTTTATTGAGGAAAGAAAGTTAATGGTGAAGTGAAAACAAGAATCGAGTGCACATAAAGTTCAAACGGTGGAATAGTAAATAGTGTGAAAAGTACTGCCATCGAAAAGGGCACGATTTCTGGCAATAATAAGCCTCACAAGGGAGAAGTGAATGTAAATTGAGTCGTTCAAATTTGATAATTAAATGAAGAGTTTGAGTTTAATGAACGGAGCGTTAGGGCAACATGGGGCAGCGCCCCCCCCCTTTTTTAAACTAAATTTTTTATGAAGTTATAATTGATACGAGCCATTACGAGGTGGTTCTTTGTTTTGTTTAAAGGTACAACTAATGAGGAATGTATGATGTGAATTAGACGTCTATACAGTTATTCAATTTTTAATGAAACACTATTTTGTAAAAAGTGTCAAAATGGGCCCATTGCCCCACCCCTGGGGCAATGGGCCCATGAGCTTGGGGCAAGGCGCCCACCCTTGGCCCCTTTACCACAATTGCATATTTTTCGTTTAAAAATGATAAAAAAATCACTCTACAGTTATAAATAAGAAAAATGTAATAAAATAAATAAGAAAAATGTAATAAAAAATATGACATTCATTCATTTATTAACAACTCAAAAAATCATATCCTTAACTTGAAAAAAATATACTCTTGTTTTAAAAAATCTATCACTGACGTGAAAAAAATATTTCATTGACATAAAAATATATATCCATGACTTGAAAAATACATCCTTGCGATAAAAAATTCGTCCTTGACATGAAAAAATATATCCTGACTAGAAAAAATATATTTAGTTGATCAGAAAAAAACTTCGTTCCAGTTTCGTCCATAATCCAGATATTATGTGCAGAGAATTCGTACTTAATCGTGATTTCGGCCAACACCATAAAACTCATCAACTTTTGGCTCATTGGTGTTGACTGAAATCAACTTTTGGCACGGCAAGAGTCAATAACTCGATAAGGGGTCATAAATACGCATAACTAGAAACTAAACCTGCTGCCTTGAGGCGGCAAATCGAAAAATCATGCAATATGAAGTGTGATTGGTAATTCAAAATTAGCGAGAAACCCGCTATGGGCCCATGACCCGCAGTGGGCTCGCTGCCCCATGTTACCCTATATTATTTTTTTTTATTTGGTGTATTACTATATTCTATATATGACGAGCGGCCTTCGTAAAATCACAGCCAGGACTGCGTGTGAGGGCGATCGCCTAGATTGAATTCAACATTTTCAACACATATATATATAAATATATATTTTTTTAAAATAAGGTTTTGATGTTGAGAAATTTCTGTGGTAGGATGTTTAGTGTGAATTTTTACTTGGGATTAATTTGTTGTGATCATATGAGTGCTAGCTAAGGTATATTCTCGCGGTCGGAATTTGTTTTCTTCATTTTTTTGTGTGTGCATTTGTTTCCTTTTTGTATTTTTGTGTATTTTTTGTGTCCGTGGCAAGTCAATCAGGAGTATGAAGATTAAAACGGCAAAATTCTTAAATAGGCTATGTTCGTTTTCTCGTTCTTGTGTTATCCCTTGCATGTGTTCTGTTTCTAGGTGTTACTGTGGAGAAAAGTTAAAATTTTTTTAATGATAGGGAGTGTAGGGAGAGGTGCGACACTGGTATGGTTCCGATTACTTAGGACTAAGTGATGCGTTCTTGTATTGGGTATTTTTATTATTATCATTATTTTTTACGATGTCCTATTGAGTGTATCTCATAGAAATCCGAATACTAGGTAAGATAGAAAAAAAAACAGATGACACCAGGTTATCATCTATTTTTTTTAGGCACGTCGAGAGGATGTGATAGGATAGGAGTTCACGAGTAATTTCGAAGAATAAAGATATAGGGCAGAAACTGTAGGTCGTTTAGGGTAAAAACCGAGCGACGCGCGTTGCGGTTTTCGAAGTACGAGCATGTAAGCAGCAAGGCGCACTGCGAGAGCGAGTCGAGCCTTGAGCGAGGTATTGGACAGATGTCTACCGAGTTAGCCGGTCAATATAGGTGCCCGGCGTATTTTGGAGGTGCACAGTGGTGAGAAGTGCACAGTGTTTAAAGACAACCACATCAATTTGGGACAGTGTTTGAGGACATCCACGAGCCACGACGATTGAGACGACAACCAGAATTAACGGCCCGAAGGCTACGAGTTACCTGCTGACATGATTGTTTTTTTTCCTGAAGCCAGTGTCTACGGAGAATAAATACCTACGAAAAAGAAATCGTGATAGACCTACGAAATTCCCCGAGGCCAAGCCAATATAGTTACCACGAGAGGCTGCGACCGGACCGCCGCCGAGCATACTTGCATCCCAACGATATCCAGCACCAGAGTACGACGCATTCAAGGGAACGCGGACTGAAGAATTCATAGAAGCCACGCGCAAGGAGCTCCGAGGAGACTTCCCTAGTGAATCTCGCCTAGAGGACATCGTCAAGAGCAGAGATTTCCCAAGCCTCGAACCGAAGCTTCGCAGTCAGATTTCCCGCGGATTGCACTCCTCGACAACTCCCGGCGATGTACTCGTTTCAGAATTTGAGCCAGGTAGTGCTTTATTTGTGCTAGAGATGTGGGTCTAATTATTAGGGTGGATCTGTGTCCTCATCATTGTCACCGTGTCACAGCTCTGTATTATGATAGTTTACTTTTCTAATATAGGAAGTGTTGAGATATTCATGAGTTGTCATTTTCCCTTCTTTTTAATTCGTACTGCCATCTATGAAACGTAACAAAAATTAACGTAACATAAGCCCTAAAGGGATGAGGTTATTCTTTCTGATTGATCACCACGAGATGTACGTTGTCCAAAATTAAAATAAATTGGAAAGAAAATCATCTAGATTTTTAATAAAATAGGACCATCAAGGGCACTTTAGTATAATCAAAAAACCTATGAACCGGGAACAAACCTGATTAAATTCTACGCCGTGTCGTTTGTTTGACTTCACCGTTTTGAAAAGAAACCTATGTTGTGAATATGTAATCGAATTCTTAGCAATTTCCAGAACTTAACATCACCAAGACTCAATAGTTCAAAATCGACTTTTTATCGAAATTTATCAGTCTGAGTTTCTTTGAGGCTCCCAGGCATTGAAGATGGACCTCGTGACCTTGCGTCACGTCCAATAGACGTTGGAATACCGGCCGAAGAAAATCGCCCCAACTCAAGACACTTGTGGACAACTCAGACACGTAGACCAACGGCAAGAGCTCGCACTTGTGCAGTCGCTAACATTCTACATGCCACTTTATTGCACGAGAGAAGCGTGCTGATCAACAATATCAAGCTACAATAATGAGTCGGAGTCGAATCTCGAAAACGCTTTAAATTATTCTGTAGCCGGGCACTTAGCAGCTATGGTAAGGAATGGTCAATTATTATCATAGCTAGAGTCAACTCACTCGATATTAGGAGCTCTTACGTAAACTATCTTCAACTCTCGAACCCATAGAGCATTAAAAAAATACTCATTTACCTAGTATTTTAGAGCAAGTTGGTGGTTGCAAATAGGATGACATGTCATAAAAACACCAGCTAAAGTTACAATTTATTAACTTGGCAATCACATAAGAAGGAAAATTCCGCCTTATAATTAGGTAATCAAACTGAATGCCCTCAAAAATAATCCAATACCAGATTTATATGAGTAAATTCATAACATTTCGCCTAAATAGGTCTAGTCTAATGGAACTTGTAATCATAAACGATGAACGGCAAATAGAAATACTTCTATCTTACTAATCAACATGCTGAAACGCAAAATTAATCGGAATAGACGACAGTCAAAACAGACGCCGAGAATTCCTCAAACAAGAACTAGAACACTAACTTCCTTGTGTCAGATATAACGGAATGTTTTTTTTTTCACGGCGCTGGCACCCACTTTTAAGACAAAAATTCTTCAATAAGAGCATGGACCTGCTTAAATCTTCAATTTAATCTACTTCCTCAATAGTTGGTCCACCAGCACCAGATGCCGCTCCTGGCATACCACCTGGCATACCACCCGGCATGCCACCGGGCACTCCACCTGCACCTCCGTAGAGCTTAGTTATCACAGGAGAACATATCTTCTCAAGTTCCTTCTGTTTGAACTCAAACTCTTCCTTCTCTGCGAGCTGATTAGCATCAAGCCACTTGATGGCTTCACTGCAAGCATCTAGAGCCTTTTTGCGCTCCTCTTCTGGCACCTTGTCTTTGAGTTTATCATCTTCCAGGGTTGATTTCATGTTGAAGCAGTATGACTCAAGACCGTTCTTGGCAGCAACCTTTTCTTTTTGTTTATCATCCTCTGCCTTATATTTTTCAGCATCCTGCACCATCTTCTCTATTTCCTCCTTGCTGAGGCGACCTTTGTCGTTGGTGATCGTAATCTTGTTCTCTTTGCCGGTGGACTTGTCGACAGCAGAAACGTTCAAGATGCCATTGGCGTCGATATCAAAGGTGACCTCGATCTGAGGCACGCCCCGAGGGGCAGGAGGGATGCCAGAGAGTTCAAATTCACCGAGAAGGTTGTTGTCTTTTGTCATGGCGCGCTCGCCCTCGTAAACCTGGATGAGCACACCCGGTTGGTTGTCCGAATAAGTGCTGAAAATTTGGGAGTGTTTGGTGGGGATTGTAGTGTTTCTCTTTATGAGAGCAGTCATAACTCCACCAGCGGTCTCAATGCCCATGGATAAGGGAGCTACATCAAGGAGGAGTAGATCTTGAACGGCTTCAGATTTGTCGCCAGTTAGAATGGCAGCCTGAACTGCAGCACCATAGGCAACAGCTTCGTCAGGGTTGATTGATTTGTTCAATTCCTTGCCGTTGAAGAAGTCTTGCAGCAGTTTTTGAATTTTAGGAATGCGAGTTGAACCTCCAACCAATACAATCTCGTGGATATGTCCTTTATCCATTTTCGCATCTCGAAGGGACTTCTCCACAGGATCCAGGGTTCCTCTGAAGAGGTCAGAGCACATTTCTTCAAATCGGGCGCGAGTGATGGATGTGTAGAAGTCGATGCCCTCGTAAAGCGAATCAATCTCAATGCTAGCTTGTGCAGATGAGGATAGGGTCCTCTTGGCTCGTTCACACGCAGTTCTCAGTCGTCGCAAAGTTCGCTTATTATCTTTGATATCTTTCTTATATTTCCTCTTAAATTCTTCAACGAAGTGATTGACAAGACGATTGTCAAAATCTTCTCCTCCGAGATGAGTATCTCCAGCAGTGGCCTTCACTTCAAAAATGCCGTCGTCGATGGACAGGATAGAAACGTCGAAGGTTCCACCGCCCAAATCGAAGATGAGGATGTTGCGCTCACCGGCGCCAGTTCCCTTCTTGTCGAGGCCGTAGGCGATGGCTGCAGCTGTTGGCTCGTTGATAATCCTGAGGACGTTGAGGCCAGCAATGGCGCCAGCATCCTTGGTTGCTTGGCGTTGAGAGTCGTTGAAGTAAGCAGGTACGGTAATTACTGCGTCTTTTACAGCCCCTCCCAGGTAGGCTTCTGCGATTTCTTTCATCTTGGTTAACACCATTGAAGAAATTTCTTCGGGAGAAAATGTTTTCATCTCTCCTTTGAATTCGACCTGCAATTTTGGTTTGCCGCTGTCATTGACCACTTTGAAGGGCCAGTGCTTCATGTCACCGGCAACGGTTGGGTCATCAAACCTTCTCCCAATCAGTCGTTTGGCGTCAAAAATCGTGTTGACAGGATTGAGGGCCACTTGGTTCTTGGCAGCATCACCAATCAGACGCTCGGTGTCTGTGAAGGCGACGTACGAAGGAGTTGTCCTGTTGCCTTGGTCATTGGCGATGATCTCGACCTTGCCATGCTGGAACACACCCACGCACGAGTAGGTCGTGCCCAGATCAATACCCACTGATGCTCCTTTCACCATCTTCGATTCTGTAAAACAATGGCAATAGATCAGAATTTTAATTTAATTTTTCTTCCACAGTAAGTAATGCAAATTCAAAGCACAGAACAATATGATTGTAAACGAGTTACTGACTGATTTCATACCCGAAATTTTCGTTCATATTATGCTAACGTCTGTCTAGGACGACTTTAGTAATTTTGCACTTCGTACGGGCCCTTCGAGATATCTTATCACTTTTCAAGTCATTACTGTGTCATGAGATTATTGAGAGACAAGTATTATAATATTTTTGATTCATGGTTATTGGTTAACGAGCTCACAAATTTTGCACTAATCATCTTTCAAGTTATATCAACAACTTCAAAAAATACCTCACAAGCAAATTTACTACCTTAATAAACTTCAAGTACAAAATTGTTCAAGAACGGAGACGCCGTGAGACGGTGAGGACAGATTTCCGGGATTTACCATTTTACAAAAGATCAATGATGCGGAGTCACGATTTTAAAATGCATGGCACACAGCACACTTTACGTTAAACAATTCAATATAGCTTTAGTACCACATTCCTGAATAGTACACTACATTCTACAATTTTACAATACATTAGTCAAACTTAGATATAAATCTTTAATCCGTACATACAAAAACACCACATCAAACCGCAATAGGCTTAGCTATTACGATACTTCCTACACTTTTTCCGCAAATCTTCATTTAATCCTCAAATAATTCAAGATTATTAGCAGTAAAATTAGGTTCTTCAGCACAGTTCTTCAGACACTGTTCTTTCAGCTGAGCATGAACGATGGTTTAACTAATAATAGTTCAACGCTTAAATGCAGTAGGACAGAAGTTGGATCAATATCGTCATCACTTAGGTATCAGTACAGTACATTGAAATCATACGACAAATGAATAACTTACCTCTCAAAATCAAATATGGACGAAATATTTATTCGCACTGAACTGCAATTAATTCACGATAACGTATCAACACAGCACGATATTAATCACGTAACTTTAAGCCGGCTTAGCTTGATGCGTACACTGTCGTAGCTTGCTAGAATCTCATGACGTCCAACGTACGAGTCGGCTTATATAACAGTCCCTGCTGGTAAGTTTCTAGCGTTTTCTGGCGCGCAATGCCGATCACGAACTTCCCAGAGCAGTCACTTGCAGAAATTTCTCGATTCAAAACGATTTTAAACTAAATCTATATTCCTGAAAGTAATTAAATTTTAGTTAGTTAGTATTAAAAGGGAGCAACAATTAACTACGTGTGAATTGCGCAATTTATTCGAGGAAATTTTATTTTTAGTTTGGCCGTAGAAGAGGAGTCTTTGCAAGCTGCTTGAGCGCTATGCTTGCTTCCAGATAGTGCCAGACACGACTTCCCATGAATGAATGCAAATGTGATGGGATCTATGAAATCAGGCACAGTGATTGTGCCACAAACAATGAGTTATTTAAAGTATTTTTACTCAATTCTTTCCTCTGCATTGCATATAATGTGGAACTCCATGATAGAAATTTGTCTTCATTCGTTAGTCTCACAGTTTCCAGAAACTCCAGACGCATGACCGTTATACCCGATACCTCTCCTAGAATCAGTCAACTTTTGGCTCATTAATATAATTGGTAATTACTTGAAAATCAAACTACTTACGATTTAGAAGCAAAGGATTCATCTAGAAGTCAAGGAATGAAAAAACTGTTAAGGATTCAAGAAGCGTTTTTTAGAATATACGAAAGAAGAACTCATTAAGAAAGTACTTTTCCTGGAAATTTTATACCTTAGCAATGCGGCAGCCAAAAAAATTTATTTTAAATTTTTAATTTTGTTTTAAATTCATTTTAACTAAATCTATATTACAATATTCACTCTTCATAAAGCCATAATAGTGTCACATACCAAATCCCAGACTTTTTCTAGTCATGCAATCGCATCATTTATTTTATACATTATGGAAGTTTAGATTAAAATCATAATAGCGATGAAAATAATATCATTTTTTGACAAATCTCTACGTCGTCCTAGATTTATTCTTTCACAGAAATATTGTATCCAAGACAGGCAATCCATTCGTGTGTGCTTTTGTTGTAAGTAACGAACTCTTACAAATAATATATCATTTGTAGCTTTCACTGATAGTAATTAATTCGTCTCATTAGAGTGCGTAAAAACTTTTGCTTCTCATGTCTTTTCATGTCGTGAAATCGTTAGACGTTATTTAGACAACTTTACTGTTTTTCGTGTACGTTGCAATTAGGTATAGTCTCATGTTTAGAATTATTGTTATGAGTATTAAAGATTGTGTTCATGTTCGTTACGACGAAGTCAGTGAAGCTAGAATCCTTTTCCATCCCTTTAATTTGGCAATACTTCTATGTCATCAGATTCAAGATGTTAGTTTTTTTTATTACAACACTTCTCTTTAACTTCACTTCTTGTTGTTTGTTTGTTTGTCTGTTACAAATCTTGTAATCGAAATTTAACACACTTCTACTTATCCTATCGATCTGAAATTTTGCACACTTGTGTAAAGTTGGAGACAATGCATGAATAAAATGTCAAAATAAATGATTTTAAAAATTATATTTTTTTAATATTAAAAAATTTAAAAAATAATTTTGTCAGCTACAAATCTTATACCTAACTGATATTTGACACACTCTTACCTGTCTAATTGATCTGAAATTTTGCACACTTGCGTGAAGTCAGAGGCAATGCATGCATCAATTAATAGAATAAATAATTTAAAAAAAATTATATATTAAAAAAAGTATATATTAAAAAATTGAAAAATTAATTTTTTTAATATTCGAAAATTAAATGAGAAATTCATTGTACATCTGTAAGATTGGAGACACTGGATTCTTTGGAAGTGTTGTCTTTAAAAAGTAATTTTTAAACGTATATTATTTCATATACACAACGCATCTTAATTAAAATGAATGTAACGCATGACCTTGTTCATGCGCGGAAAGTTGTATATAACGTGTTACAGAAACTGATAGAATGACGTGACTTCAAAATGATCGGCATGCAATTTCTAAATCGGCTAATAAACAGTATAATCTGAGAAATCTGAAATTGAAAGTAAAATGAAGCACGCATTTGCAATTCGAAAAAAAAAAACATTGAGTCATTTCAATCTATTTGTTAAATTACGTTTACAAACCGAGGTATCAAATAATGAAGGCTGCAATCAGTCAGCCAGAACAAATTCCATTAATATTTCATAAAATTAAAGTAAAAAATCAGTGAGAGTTCAGATGATAGATGAATAGAAAATTTAGATTTGGCTCATTGATAATATCAAAGTTTGTAGTGCTGATGAAGCGAAGATCCGTTAATTATATCGAGGTGAAGGTATAAACCCTTGAGCTCAAATTCACAATGTAGCAGGCAATAGGCGCTGAAAAATAAATCAGTATTTAGACATATGAAATATTTTAGCCACATCATGTTTTTCACAAATAAAATGGCATGGTCAAAACTAAAAAGACGAAGGACTGTCAGTTCGTCCCACCGACGAGAGGTTTTTCGAATCATCTGTAACTAACGACGTTTTTCTGGAATCCGATTCTCTAGAAACTCCTAGAAAATTGCCTTTTGCAGCGGTGACTGAAATGCGAAGCACATGTAGAAGTTTCATGTGTTGGTGAATTAAGTGATTAACAAGGATACAAAGTAAACTTTGAGTAAAAAAGAGTAAAAGTCACTGCTTTTAAATAACGAATCTGTAAGATTTTTCAACCTGCATGAAACCAATCAAAAACACAGTGCGATAATTTACTGGTGTGTATAGGCTATTTTCTGAAAAGTTTGACATTGAAAGGAATTATCTCAGTAGAGCGCTGAAGAGCCTTAGTCATGAATTGTCCGATTAAAATAAGTAAATTTAATTAGTGATCATGAATTGCACAGTTGAGTATCGTTTTGAAACAGATAAACTTGTTCATTTGTCGCGACAACATTTCTTCTCGCTTCAAATCACCGACATGTGGAACAGCCTCCCCGATTACATTGTTGGCGCTCCGAGTATGAACGCGTTCACGAACAGACTAGATAAAGTTATGGAAAAATATATGTTCAGACTTGAAATGCCTAGCACCATATTGAACCCGGTGGAAGTCTAGTAGCTATTTCAAACTATCGTCAGTCATGAAAGTTCCGGTCAAAGGACATGCATTTGGATCTTTTGTGAACAAGTCACGAAAAGCACTGAATCGGCGACAGACCACATCAGGCCTACTCTTCAGCGCCGACATCGCTATGTTATGTTACGTAGTGGTGGGTTGATACCATCATATTGAATGATGATTGCTTCATTTAATATTACTAACGGGAAAAGGATAGCTCGCACCAGTACTTTATTAGGCTCACTGGGGGGCTTCAGCCCCTTAAAATATTCGTAATCACCATTAAACAATGATCTCATAATTTATACAAATTATTTAAAATTTTTTAAATATGCAGACAAATTGAATATAATGTGGGCTTAACATGAGTTTTTATAAAAAAAATTGTACAACCACCCAGTATTAACTTAACTAACACGTTGAGTGCTGCGCGACCCACCAGGGTTGCCTATATAGGTGGCCTAAAAACGGTCAAGTCCTCTGACAAAAAGGACTAGAATTCAATATTTACGAGTAAATTTGTAGGTTCCGGTGCAAAAATCAAATTTTCCTTTTTTTCCTGCTTTTTGAAATTTAACAAGGAAGTACGACATCATAAATTTTTGCCGGACAACGTAATTGAAAAAAAAAAATTACGGAATTGTCCAGAAAAAAAAAATACCCTGCAACCAACCGATGAGTTGTGTCGCACTCAACGTGTCATCATGAATCTAATGGGACCTGTATTGCCATGAATATATGCAATTTTCCAGCGATTGTTGTAGGATGGTGTTTTGGCTTCAAACACGTTATTGCGACACTCGAAGCCTGATAGTTAATGAAGTTTCCGAAATGATGTGTTATAAATTTTACTTATTACACTAAATGTTGTTAGTGACATTTTTAATAAAAATTGCCGAATTTAGAGTTGATGTAGAATATATTCTTTAGGCATTAAATTATAGAAGCTACCATAGAAATAATGATACTTGAACATTACGTCAGATGTCACCTCAATTAGGTGCTGCATTATTTTACTTTGTTTTGATACTTAGGTGAAGCAGAACTCCAGAGGCGGGCTTTGAAACTATCTGTAGAACGCGACGTTAGTTGCGTACGTTCTGACCCAAGTATATTAGTACAGCGGGGTATCATGCGCTGCGTGGACATTTCTATCACACTGAAGTGTGTTAGGGACCATCTACCTGTGCTCCTGCAGCTAGGTTTGCAGTTGAGCTTTTGGCCTCCGGCCGTTCTCTGTCATTTATTGGCAGAGGTGGGCAGTAGCGCGCTACATGTAGCGGGCGCTACTAGCGGCCGCTACATTTTCAGTAGCGGTAGCGGTAGCGGCTCTACATTTAAGGCAATGTAGCGGTAGCGGTAGCGCCCGCTACATATTTAAGTAGCGATGCGAGGTTTTGCCGCTACAGCGCTACCGCTACATTTAGAGATAGAGCCTTTAGATTTTACTTAACGGGACCGGCTACCCTCCAACAAAACTTTTTTGTTTACAGACGGATCGTTTTGAAACTTGGTACACATATGTAAAACAGAAATCTGAGACCTTTTTGTTCATGTAAATTTAAAAAAATAAATTGTCTTACGCAAAAATTATAGCACGCACAGACATGCGGTAAACTGCGTTATAGACGCACCTTTTCAGCAGCTCCAAAATGAGTCAAGAAAACGGTAAAGCCAAAATTTCCGATTTTTAGGGTAGCCGGTCCCCTTAATAGTATTAAATATTATTTAAAAACCAGCATGAACACATATACATAATATAAATTACAGAATAAAAATGTACGAAAGATTTCGGTGTAATGTTGTCAACCTCAGCCTGTTACTAGTGTCAACATGTTAGTTGTTACTTGTTGTTACCAGTTACCACTCACAGGTTTTTTTCATCTCTCAGTTTGCTTACAGTTATTTTTACACATTTTTTTATGTTTCACCTTCCCTACATGGATTTCTACTTCAATCTACCAATCTCAAAAATAATCCACATATATATACAAAAAAAACTGATTTTTATATGTATATGTGGATAATTTCTTAGATTGGTAGATTAAAGTTCATATCCATGTAGGGAAGGTAAACATAAAAATAACTGTAACTTCTATTTACTGTATCTAACCCTGGGGTAACCCATACTAGTTCGGTTAGGATAATTGCAATAAAGTTGCATTGATATGTTTTAAAAATGTTTTATTATCATTAAATGTTAATGAGTAAATCCCATTAGCAGAACAATAAATTTTTAGAGATTTCCAATAATTTTGGCCATTGTAGCGGCTAATGTAGCGCGCTACATTTTACTGTAGCGGTAGCGGTAGCGCCCGTTACAATCTAGTGGGTGTAGCGGTAGCGGTAGCGCCCGCTACATTTAGAGCATGTAGCGGTAGCGGTAGCGCCGCTACATTTCCAAGTAGCGCTGCCCAGCTCTGTTTATTGGTAACTGCAATTGTCTACGTAGACGACGAAAAGCGTGAAATAAAAAACCAATCTACAAATATTTACATGAATTTTCAATATTAGTTTCCTAACTATTTAGGTTAATATCACTCGGTTGGGCTTGAAATATCGTATAAAATATTATTTTTCCGCCTTCCTTCCAGAAGCAACAGATAGTCTCCTCACCCATCGCGTTTCAACGTCGCTTATCTAATTTATCTATGATTTTAAAGCTTAAATGAATATTCCCAGAACTAATCTGATATTATTCTTGACACGGCTCAAGTTGGATGTAAGGAATGTTTCACTCTATTTGTTGAAAATTCGAAGAATCTTTGTTATCGTGATGAAATTCATCATTGACAATAATTTTATTTACCCCAGCAGAAATTTCTCAAAAATACGAATGATTTTGGAAATTCGAAATAATAAACAATTTCCACTTCAAGAACATGGTGATTCGTGCTCTTTTGAAATCCGGTTCCCGAAATAGTTGCAAATTATTCAAGGAATTCAAGCAGCCGAAGAAGGGCAGGGCTAATAAAACAGGAGATAACAATATTAATTTATTAACTTAGCATTAGCATAAGAAATTAGAACTAAACCTTACAACTAAAGTTAAGAACAAGGTAAAGAAAATAAATGCCCGCACAGATTCTCACGACTAGTATAGTAATGTACATCACTTCAAGAGGCACACTTAAGAAATAAATCTCGTGCGTCCCACATGCTCATTACACATGGTAATTAGCTCATATAAAACAGAGACACACGCTTTTACTCAGAACAAAACAAAATTTCTACAATCAATAAAGGCACAACGAATGACAGAAAAGTCACTTATTAATCAACCTCTTCTATCGTTGGACCACCGGCACCAGATGCCGCTCCTGGCATACCACCTGGCATGCCACCGGGCATTCCACCTGCACCTCCGTAGAGCTTGGTAATTACAGGAGAACAAATCTTCTCGACCTCTTTCTGTTTGAACTCAAACTCTTCCTTATCTGCGAGCTGATTTGCATCCAGCCACTTGATGGCTTCACTGCAAGCATCTAGAGCCTTTTTGCGATCCTCTTCTGGCACCTTGTCTTTGAGTTTATCATCTTCGAGAGTAGATTTCATGTTGAAGCAGTATGACTCAAGACTGTTCTTGGCGGCAATCTTCTCCTTTTGCTTATCATCCTCTGCCTTGTACTTTTCGGCATCCTGTACCATCTTCTCGATGTCCTCCTTGCTGAGGCGACCTTTGTCGTTGGTGATGGTAATCTTGTTTGCCTTGCCGGTGGACTTGTCGACAGCAGACACGTTCAAGATGCCATTGGCGTCGATATCAAACGTGACCTCAATCTGAGGCACGCCCCGAGGAGCAGGAGGGATGCCTGTGAGCTCGAACTTGCCGAGGAGGTTGTTGTCTTTTGTCATGGCGCGCTCGCCTTCGTAAACCTGGATGAGCACACCGGGCTGGTTGTCGGAGTAGGTGGTGAAGATCTGCGAGTGTTTAGTGGGAATGGTAGTGTTCCGCTTGATGAGGGCAGTCATAACTCCACCAGCTGTCTCAATGCCCATGGATAGTGGGGCGACATCGAGGAGGAGAAGGTCTTGAACGGCTTCAGATTTGTCACCGGTTAGAATGGCAGCCTGAACTGCAGCACCATAGGCAACAGCTTCGTCAGGGTTGATTGATTTGTTCAACTCCTTGCCGTTGAAGAAGTCTTGTAGTAGTTTTTGAATTTTAGGAATACGAGTTGAACCTCCAACCAATACAATCTCGTGGATATGTCCTTTATCCATTTTGGCATCTCGAAGCGACTTCTCCACAGGATCCAGGGTTCCTCTGAAGAGGTCAGAGCACATTTCTTCAAATCGGGCGCGAGTGATGGATGTGTAGAAGTCGATGCCCTCGTAAAGCGAATCAATCTCAATGCTAGCTTGTGCAGATGAGGATAGGGTCCTCTTGGCTCGTTCACACGCAGTTCTCAGTCGTCGCAAAGTTCGCTTATTATCTTTGATATCTTTCTTATATTTCCTCTTAAATTCTTCAACGAAGTGATTGACGAGGCGATTGTCAAAATCTTCCCCTCCAAGGTGAGTATCTCCAGCAGTGGCCTTCACTTCAAAAATACCGTCGTCGATCGACAGGATGGAAACGTCGAAAGTTCCACCGCCCAAATCGAAGATGAGGATGTTGCGCTCACCGGCGCCGGTTCCCTTCTTGTCGAGACCGTAGGCGATGGCTGCAGCTGTTGGCTCGTTGATAATCCTGAGGACGTTGAGGCCAGCAATGGCGCCAGCATCCTTGGTTGCTTGGCGTTGAGAGTCGTTGAAGTAAGCAGGTACAGTAATTACTGCGTCTTTTACAGCCCCTCCCAGGTAGGCTTCGGCGATTTCTTTCATCTTGGTCAACACCATTGAAGAAATTTCTTCGGGAGAAAATGTTTTCATCTCTCCCTTGAATTCGACCTGCAATTTTGGTTTGCCGCTGTCATTGACCACTTTGAAGGGCCAGTGCTTCATGTCACCGGCAACGGTTGGGTCATCAAACCTTCTCCCAATCAGTCGTTTGGCGTCAAAAATCGTGTTGACAGGATTGAGGGCGACTTGGTTCTTGGCAGCATCACCAATCAGACGCTCGGTGTCGGTGAAGGCGACGTACGAAGGAGTTGTCCTGTTGCCCTGGTCGTTGGCGATGATCTCGACCTTGCCATGCTGGAACACACCCACGCACGAGTAGGTCGTGCCCAAATCAATTCCAACTGCTGATGTTTTTACCATTTTGGATTCTGCAGAACGAAAATACAGAAACAGTTTATACTCTATGGTTCACTCGTAACAATTATTTCCAAGAACATTTCACCGAAGTGTACCTGAATTCTGAATGCAGTCAAAACTTTAAAATAGAATTTCGAAATTTAAAAGGTATTGAAATATGTTTTAACATCAATATCAACGCACGCTTAAAGACTAGTTAAATTATCTCTCCAGCAGCCAATAATCGACAAAACGAAATTCTACTTTTAATGAGCGGACAGTTATCGCAGTGGACATTTAACGATATTTTCCATCGGAAAATACCTTCAAATTACTTTTAGGAGTAACGGTTTTCAAGTACGCAATACAAGACATCGAAGTTACAAATATATGCACTGGAAAAGTTTACTATTTAATACCTAAATTTTAATCAGGAGTCACAATGTTTTTTATTGTAGACCACAAACGAGGAAACTTCCGACTAAAATAATTGTCCCAGAATTAAATTATGTTAAAAATCGTGCTAACGCGTTCTGGCAGTTGACCAACTCTCTCCGTACGTCATCGTTGTATAATTAGATCTGGCTAAGGGAAAGTTAGGCTAGAAATAACACGAAATTAATTGGAAGGTCACAAATAGCTTACCTCAAGTCTTGAGTGTAATTATTGTATCCACTATACAGTAAGTAATTGAAGGAAGCTGAATTTAAAGTCACCAATAAACTTTTCGCTTTGCAACTTGAGGAAAAATCGCTGAACTTGACTGGCGTTCACTAAGGTCGCTCACAAGATTCTGGCTTGATGCGCGATCGGCGCCACTTATATAGCAGTCTCAGCTAACAAACTTCTGGCGTTTTCTAGTGCGCTACACTGAAGAGGAACTTCGCAGGGGGTCCAACTGCAGAAATTTCTCTTGACTGTTCGAGAGCATGCCTCGACCCATGGTTGAATTAATACATTCAACCATGCCTCGACCGTTCGAGATAATCTGGTAAATTTGTCTCCTTGACTTATGGTTGCATAGAATCATGTAAAAAGAACCATTATAGATGAATAATATTTGTTGAAACATTTAATTTGCTTTGTCTTGCTGATTACCATTAGTCATTCAATCAAATTTAGCTATAAGCGTTCAGTAAATATCGGGCAAAACCATATTAAAAAAACACATTATAATTTCTTGAAAGAACCTTAAATTCAATCTAACATTAATTATTGCTAAACCCGTCATGATATTTCAATATTATTTAAAAAAAAGTTTATTCGCATTGCTGGTGTTCTTTAGACCGCTTCTAGAAACTCTGGCAACGCGTGACCGCAATAGCCCAACGCGCAACAATTTTAGACCCTCACGTCAACGCGATAGTGCGTCACCGATTATTTTCGATTCGTCCTGACTGATATTTAACAAAAATCTATTGAAATTTGCAGAAACACTTAAAACTTTTATTTAGAGTTAAATGTACTTGAAATTATTTTGTACTTAAAGTACGGCCTCTGATATATAATAGTAAAAGGCGAATAGAGAAATTATTGTAATTCTAGAGATTGTAAGCCTACTCATTTCACCACCGAAGTAAGAGAAGCGGTGAATGATGCAAGAGAATAATGTGTGTTTGCTTTGCACTCAAAAGAATTAGTGAAAGCAAATGAGAAGTGACTTCGTTACTGCCTCCAATGTATTGTTCGACAACTATTTATCTTAGAACAATCTACAGTTACATAAAATAAGTTTAATGTTGCACTTCAAAATCACTGTTTCGTCGAACAACCATATTATTTAGACACAAGAAAATTTCAAGGTATCATTCGGAATAATATCAAATTCGTCTTAATAAGATTGATAAATACAGTGTTATGTAATCTTCTGCTACATGGACGACTGATTGTATGTAGTTAATCTTGATGTATAACAATGAAGTTGGGTACGTTTTTGTTATAATATTTTTCGATTACATATACGAAAATTCAGATCGACAACCACGATTTCTTCGTCATATTAAAAACTATCTGGATATACCAGTAATTAAACCCAGGTTATAGCAAAAATCTATTGATATTAATTAATTATCATAATAATAATTCGTCAAAAAGTTGCACAAGCAAAAAAATACCAAATTATAAGCTGTTTTATGCGCTCGACTGCTGATGCCTGATAGGGCATGCATTTCCAGCGTCTGTCAGCTGAAAGAAATGAAGAAAGAAATTCATTGTTTTCTTTAGTTGATATGAAAAATTATGATGAAGTTTTTTAAAATTTTAGAATATTCTTCATTTTATAGAAAATCACGGCTATATCTTGCCTAAAAAACTGATTGAATAGAGAGTAATAGCTATTTCATATTTAATAGAGAGTAATTAAAAATATTTCGATTGTGTTTTGTAATTCAACAAAAATTTCTCCATTCAATGAAGATTTTTTGAGCGCCACCGATCCATGGTTTGTAAACTATATGCACACCTCAGTCACTGATCGAGTCTGTACCATTCTCGAATAATCTCCTGTGAACAAAAATGTTCACGATTTCTCGTTCTCTGTACAAATGCTTAGAAAATTGCTTCCTCAGTAGTGACTGTTTTTTAGGTGCTTTCTAAAATTATATCACGTACCCCCTAGGGGTTCCCACAGAAATGACCCGACTTCCTAATTGATTATATTCAGCTCCAAAGTTATATAATTTAATTTTTTTAATGTAGTAAATTTTATCATTCTTCTTTAATCATGCTAATTTTTGAAATTGTTTTAATGAGCTCTCCACACTGAACGTTTACTGAAAGGATGTCTCCGACAGTTTTGGGACGAATTTTTGCACAAATTTTCCCCGTATAAATTTTGAAAATGAAAACGATCTTGGCCAAATTATATGTAAATTGTAATGATCTTTCGTGCCGAGGTTAAATAATGATCTCGAGTTAACACAATTAATTTAATATTAATGAAAAGTGAACACTAAGATTAAGAAATCGAACAAGTTAACGCGAACATGGGTATCATAATATGGTACAGAACTCTCTTCTTTCATATGCTAGGGCACAGCATAGTAGAGGTTTCTCACATCACAGTAACAATTTATATATGCACAACACTGAGTCTTCTTGATAGCCTCTTGTGATCTTCTATCCGGGTTGACTTCTCCCTCTGCAGTTGTCTGAATTCACTAAACTAGTCCTTGCTTTGGTCCCACAACAAGTCAGCTCTGAATTCTTACACTGCTACGGGATCGTCAACACCTTAACTTATTCTACGTCCCACACATTAGTTACTATGGTTCTTATTCTCCATCTGTTTCCCAAAGTACACCTGAATATTCAGCTAAGATCCCTACATAAATGAAGCTATTTATTCACAATACGCTTATGCAAGCATTTTCAGACTTTTTTGTCATCTTTGATGTTGATTAGCGCGCTTAATGCTAAGCCTGTATTCCACGCACTAGTTGTTCAAATGTGAACGGATCTTTATCTAATTAACAACGAAGTTATTCACAAAACACTCGGGCGAGCGTTGTTGTCAAAGTTTTTAAGTCCGCTTCGTTTTCACGTATATATATATATAAGTGATTCAACGCTAAGCATAGCAACGCTAAGTTATTCGGCGTGCAAAAGACTAAAACGTAGCGTCTGGCGCACTACTTGAAAACGGACACAAAATTCTGACAACTGACGTCAGAACTGTGAATAAATAGAAACGTTTTAATTTGCTCGAGATAGGTTTTGATTCGGAAAACTTACGCGAGGAAAACGTGCTGTGAAAATTGGCCCCCAAAAATATTCGTTCCAAAAATTTGTCCATGAAGTGCCTAAGCGATTGAAAAGGGTAAAAAACTATTTATTAAAAATAAAACTATTATGTTTTCCTTATTTAAAACTAACTTAAGACTTAACCCTACTTACTTTAGTTACAAAACGAACGAACATCAATTTAAAAGATTAGTAAATAATTCACTTAAAAACCGTTTAAATAAATAAAGCAATGTATTATCATCTGACACCAAGCAATGAAGAAAATTGTGGATCTTTTTTAACTCTAGTAATATTTTTCAACCCTTATTGACTCGCATATTATTGACATTATACCTAAACTTGGTATAATGTTTTACCTAAACTCGGTATGTTGGACGAAATAATCAAATGCCTCTATTGTCAGAAATGCATTGCTTTGACCATATATGGCATGTTAACTGTGCGCATGAAATTCTACCATTGTCAAAAATGATGTTCTTAACCATGAATGTTGTACGTATTAAATTCTTCTATTGTCAGAAATGCACATGCATGTTGTACGAAAGAATTAAATGCTTCTATTATCAGAAATGCATTGCGTTGATTCTGAATGCCGACTGCGCAGGCAATTCTCTTATGGTCAAAAATATTCTAGTAGAGAATTTCCGCGTCAAAAATAGAAATACTGCGACCTGAGCCTAGCTGACCATATCTCGCACAGATGGTGTAAAAGGTCGTGCGACGTCCAGCTGGCGAAGGTGGCAACAGCGGGACCGATCCCTGTTGGTTTGAGTAGTTGAAAGCCAGCTGTTGATGACCAGTCTTACTGTCATGGAACGTATTTTACGTAATAATCATCTTTTAATCACAAATAATAAAACAATTTATTTCATTTAAATGTAAATCCTTAGTTTTCTCTTGTTGACCCGTAAATCAATTATAAGCTGTCATCGCAACTTCCTCGTGTACAATGAGGAAGGCCAGGCAACATCTGGCGTGAAGCTGTCCGTCATTTTCAGGACGTCACTTAACGTCAATTTGAAGCTTAACACAAGATGTTATTGAAGAAACGATTGTCACAACGATCATCAATACAGAACCTTATGCGTACATGAAATCTATTTACATATATATCGTTTTAGAATTTAATTTCTAATAAATTAGAGAACAACGATGGCAGTTTGAGATAATATCATGTTTTAATCTGGGCATACGCAATTGTGAAGAAAAAATGAAAGAGTGTTGCCACTGCGAACAATAATTAAAAGAACTAACAAACGCATCAAAAATTTCGTATAAGAAAATAATCAACAACGAATACTCGCTGCAGAACATACAAACGCATCATTAATCACTTGCAATATTATAACGAACATATTATCAATAATATAGGGACAAATAACATTCTACAGAAGAAATTAAGAAATATCTTTTGGTCTCGAAATAATCCCAGACACAATGAAGTTTTAACCGCAACAAAATGAGGAGCTATTTCGTAAATGTCCCTGACTGAGATCAGGTTGGTGGATGCCTTTGTCACCACAAATTTCAACGCAACTGTAAAAAAAATCGTTAACATCTATTCTAAATCCACTCCTTCTCGTGGCTGCAGATTTGTTAGGAAGAAGTCTTAAAGCCCCGAGGCAGAAAATGGTCATAGGTGTTTGACAGACAGACAGTCATGAAATCATCATACAAGCAGGAAAAGGAAGATCATAAATATATAATTCACACGGTGATTTTATCCCCTTGTTGTTTGAAACAACGCGAGTTTAAGTGAATTCTTCATGTTGTAGCTTGACGATGGAATATGCGTGGTACAAAATGACAGCGCCAAGCTTTGAGATGTTAAGAAATGAGCAAAATTGTGCGGTTTTTACTTCCTTCACGTTATGATGATGTGCCATCAAAGTTGAATTTGCTAATCACCTAATTTTTTTATATCTCGTTTAAATGGCCTATTGATCTTATTTAAATGGCCAGAGCGTTCTCATTTAAATGGCTTATTGTTATACGAGCCTATAAGTATATATTAGCTAGTCAATTTATTTCTTATTATTAAGAGTTCCCAT